TTCATTCGCGTTGAGCGTGTAGGCCCCCTGCTGCGCAGGGGGCATTTTCCGCAGGAAAATTCGATTATATAAGCGACCCGTCGGGGCCCGATTACATCGCTCACATTCAGGGGATACCCTAGGGTAGGGATCGATCACGCGGGAGTGAAGATGGTGGTGATGGGAATGCGGACGACGGAAAGCGAGAGCGGATACTCCAAGGACGGAGAGTTCATATTGGGGGTGTCGCTGTTGGAAGGGGCTAGGGAGTGTTGGGTAAGGATTGCAGTGTGATGATTTTCTCGGATCAAACCGTCTTAGGTGAAGAGATGCTGGTTCCGTTGATTCGGAGAGTGGTAGGCGGGCTTTGACGGTGACGATTTGTGCGCTGGATGCACACTTCTATAGGCTGTCGCCGTGGCAGAGGGAAAGGAGCGCTAGAATACGGACGGGGCTGACGTATCAAGGAGACTGATATGAGTGTAATAGGCGGTTGGGTAGAAAATGTGCAATGAAGGGTTCTTTCAAGCGAATCTGGGACATACGAGGATGAATATGGTTGGAGTGCACGGGAAAGGCGGTTATGCCAATAGGGGGACTCGGCACATCATAGGGACCAAGACTGGCTACGCACGGTATGAACGAAGAAAGTGTATAATTCATGCAAAAGATTTGAAAGTGCAATCATGAGAGCATCTATTATGCAGGGTCCGTGTATGACAAGACGTCACATTGCCTCGAAGGACCTGGACAGCGTCAAGGGGTATATACCGAGGACAAGTCGACGTATCGATATCGTTGTGTAACAAGAGAACCACGCGGTGCCTTTAGACGGTGCGATTCACACACTATCCCATCACCTTCGCTGATCGAGTTCGGGTAGATTTGGGTTGGGAGGCAGAGCAGCCAACTCGGAGGAGTTGGGGTTGGGTGGCACTGCACCGGTGTATCCCGCCGCTGACGAGACGGGGCTGACAGTGTGCTCGCGGGAAACGGGATCCGGAGCGTACTGAGCATACTGCGGCTGTTGCGGCTGCTGGACGTACACGGGCTGCTGTGCATACTGAGGCTGGGGTTGCTGCTGGGGATACATCTGCTGCTGGGGAGCCGGCACGGGTACCTGGCCATAGACTGGCTGCTGGGGTTGAACTTGCTCGACGGGGGCAGTCTGTTGGACGCCCGTGTAGGCGGGGTTGGCGGCCTCGGGATTGCCCTCCTGGCCGGAGCGGTGGCGATGAATGTACATGCCGACGAAGACTAACGAAACAACCCAGAGGACGCTTGGGGTTTGTGTGAGTGCTGGATCTGGACTGCGCATGGGATGGCCCTGAACTTACAATTGAACGGCACCAAAGAAGGCACCAGCAGCAAGTGCACCATAGTACGCGCCGACGGTCGTATCCCTCTTCGCGAGGTTAACCAGGTCACGCTTGTTGTAGTAATAGTAGTACGTGTCGCTTCGTCCGGACCAGAGAGACGCGAGGTTTGCGACAAGGCCGAGGTCCGTCACCCAGAAGATGACCATCAAGATGTGGAGCGCCAGCACGGCCCAGTAGTTGTAGAGCGAGTGGAGGGAGAGGGTGCTCGCGATGATGTAGGCGCAGATGATGAGCGTCAGGAGAGCCTAGGATTTGTTAATCGGTATCCGGTGCTGCATCCAACGAGAATGCATCCTTACGGTGACCAGAGAGAAGACAAGCGCATTGTATACGATATAATGAATTCCATATGCGTCAAGAGCAAGGATGAGAATGGCAACCAGAATCTGAACCGAATGGACGATGACGGTCCAGCGAGGCAGAGGAAGTAGGTGGGCTCCCTCTGACATCTTTGCGGTACTCTGGTCGCGAAGGTTACGCAGAGGATATTGGCAAGGAAAATAGGTAAGGGGGGGTTGTGAGCAAGCGGGAACACGACCAACAAACAAACCGACGGTTTTGCTGCGGCAGGTCTCCAGTCTTAAAAAGAATGCTGTGTTCAGCCTCAGTCAGTCCGGTGTGGCAGGTCGCGGATTTTAGCGCCGTGCCGTGGTCCTATTTATCGCAAGATTGTTTTGGCCTATCCCCAGCTTGTGAGCTGGCGCTGAAGGCGCCATAACTACCCTTGTTCTGCAGGAGTCCAATTGAAAGCAATGATAGTCGGGATGGCCAATAGGTGCAGGGTGTGGCTGTGGCTGTGGTGGCTTTGCGTTCTTCGGCTGTGAATGTATTGGGGCTAGTCCGTGGTGATTGAGGAAAAGTATGGGTTTGGAGGAAATTGACCATGAGTTACAGAACCAATACATCTAGGCAGTGGCTAGAAGCGAAAAGCGTGATTCGCTAGAAAACGAGGCTGAGTGCAGGGCCGAGAAATGGGCTGAAGAGGATACGAGAGAGGAGTTTGTTCAATGTTGGTCGAGGCTCGACGAGCTCCGAGGAACATAACAAATCGTCTCGTGTACCGGTCCATCAAGACAGATGGGACGGGAGAAAGGAAAATCTTTACAGACCTTGCTGAATATTTTAAGGGAAACATAGGGAGCTGTTTAGAGTAGTGCATGCCACTCCTGTTAGAATGCTTCTGGTGTCGTAGCTGAAGCGCGCTGGCCTGCCTCGGACTTTGGTGCGGCTGAATGAAGGGAGGGGAGGGGAATGGAGACGAAGGGACCGACCGGAACAACACGGTGCCGACCGAGGAATAATAAAGATACCGACCGTATCTATGAAGGTTCTGCAGCGACAGTGTTGAGTTGGCTGCGACATCAGGTCTCAACGTTCGAAAGGTCACCTTCCGCCTGGAGACAGCGTCTCGATCATTGAGTCCTCAACGGATTCGAGTACGAGAGTTGTTGGCAGATGTCCGCACTGCAGACGCAGCGATGCCCCAGTTCTGTAGATACTTGTAGTCTATAATAATTTCATCGGTCAACATGACTAGAAGAGGTACCCGTGGACCGCACCTGCGCTGGTTAGGTAGTACCGTGAAACGCTAGGACGGGGTAGGTTTAGCGCTTCATCCATCTCGCATCTCTCAGCACTGAGGTGTAATCTACCACACCATCCATCTACCTACCTACATCGTCCGCCTCTTCCTTCCACTCCTACCTACCCATCGACTTTGATCGTTTCTTGGACAACAGCAAGCATTTTAAACAGTCGGCGCTTTTGCCCAGACATGGCCCTATTCGATTTCCGAGTTCCAGACCATGCCCATCCGGCGAGTGCAACCATGGTGCATGGCGACAAGCCTGGATTTATTGAAATCCTGCATCTTTCGGGTCGCACGCAATCTGTCAGTCACACCTGCTTCTCAGCCGACAGTTCATCTATCTATTGCCGGCCCAGCCCAACGGCTCTTCCTCGCCCGCCATCCTAGAGAGGTTGCACGCAGATACGAACTGCGTAAACGATCTGTTCTGTATTCACTTCTACTAGCACCCGGATAGAAGTGATCCGAGTGAGACAGCAACACTCCAACACGTTGCTATTACGATGTTTGCAGCATACAATTTTCTCCACTGGGCTTGAGTCCATATCATCTGAACGGTTTGGGGCTGCCTGGAGACCTTTGGGAATCGCGCTCTTCACAGCTGACGAAGGCAGAAAAATGCTCGAACGCGTTTGTTACAGTCCCCCCGTAGTGGGCATGGATTACATACACCTGAGTCCTAAAGGCAAACATGTTATCCGCGCATTTGTGAAAAGTTGTCCTGACCTATCGGCTTTCAACCATCCATGTTGCCCTCCGGCGCTCCCTCACCAACAGTGCGCCAACCTTGCGTACGAGAGAAAAAGAGACTAACCGCTTCACGTTCAACTAGGCTAGGTTACCCCATTGGGCAGTTGCCAGTGTACTCTCGTGGGCATTGTGTCCAATTGTAGGCGCCCTTGCAGTCTGGAGATCTCCGTCCCGCATACCGGCTGGCATTCGTGTACCTGCACACAAACATCTCGACCGTTGCCAAGGTTCAATTCGCTTATTTGTAAATTGCTAACACGATCTCTCTACGAAGAAATCACTCCACAAGGTCCTCTACCTGCCTTCCCGCTCACCTCCTGCGTTGGGGCTGAATATTGAACACACCATTCCACTCTTTTCAGGAAGAAACCTCGCTATAGAGGATTTTGAACCTATTGGCTGCCATCTCCAACCTGCATCCGAAATGCATCTGGCCTTCCATTCCGGGGAGCATGCAGTGCCAAAGTCGCCCACGATACGCTATTTTGAGCCGAACCATCGACGGATGGACTTGTCCCGTCCGGCCTGTACGATATCGTCTGCCAGTGTTGGATCCAGGTCGCTCCCCTCAGGGAGCTCGGTTGATAGAGTCCTCGGGGTTGAACAGAACCCACATGGCTCAGGGAATGGGCATTGCCAACGCCTTCCCCGAAGGAGCTGAAGAGCTCGGACTCTAGAGAGTCCGGCATGATTGTATGCATGCGCTCAAGTTTGGCCGAAAGGTTCAGTATAAAAGGGGGACTAGACGCCAGCCAAATCACCCACTTGTCAGAGCTCCAACTATTGCGCCCATCATCAACATGGCTCTTTCACGCTACCTCGTCCAATTTCTGTCTCTCGCCACTACCAGCCTTGCTGTCAACAGCGAGGAGGCCAGTCTCATCGCTTGGAAGGCTTATGGGGACTTGATCAAGAACTACATCACGGCCAACCAGCCTCTCACTCCTGGAACCGATTTCATCTACGTCACGCCACTTACCTCCACCTTCGTCCGTGGTGGCACGCCTTGCCCTGAGTCCGTTACGAACTTTGAGCTCTGTATGTCGACATAACACTCCCATCGATCTCCTCCATCTAACCACTGCAGACCAATTTGCCGACCGTCTGCAGAACTCGGCTAGCCCGCTCCTTGACACCACAGGTCCCCTCTATGCGCAAACCCTTGAGACGTAAGTCTTTCATCTCGCTCAGTATACATTCCAACACTGAGGCTCGCTGCTTACTCCTACAGCTACTTGCAATCAGTGGCCATCCTCGACAAGGAGTTAACCCCTGAGCAGAAGAAGAAGTTGGATCAGCTGGAGAAAAATGTCAACGACGCGAAGACAAAGTTCCAGAAGGCGAAATCCAGCGCTTTCCTCGCCTGGAGGAATGACGAGGTTGCGCAATACTTCAATCAGACCTTCCAAGCGTGGGTCACCGACAACGACCCTCAATATGCCAACTTCCAAGCTCAACTAGTCACTGCCGATGCATCCTACAACAACTACATGTTGAGCATCTACGGCTCCAAGTACAACCTACTCCAAGAGCAGCGAAGTATGCCGATGCCACTTCGATTTGGTCTTACACAGGAACTAAGAATATCTAGACAACATCAATAGCAAAGCGCAGAACGAACTTGGTTCTGTCCCAGGGTAAGCTGCCCCCATTTCATCAGCACCTTTGCTGGTCGAATTCTACAAAAGGCTCCAGATGGCCTATATCGGACTTACTCATGCTGTATGAAGACCATGCCGCAACGAGACTGACTTCGCCCATCATCATGTTGTTCACCCCCCGACGAACGTGACTAATTGTACCGACAGCTACAACATGATGGTTTACCCTTCCGCCGACAGCTACAACGTCTCGATTGACCCCTTTGTCAAGAATGAGATCACCGAGTCTACCATTTATCGCCCTGCCTACTCGCTGACTGGGTACGAGAACACCTGCGACAGCTACTTCAGAAGTACTCAAGGTTTGACTACTCTGCAATATGGCTTCACGAACGTCGACGGTCACGATTGGAGCTCTCTGGGCTACACCAAGAAAGTCACCAAGGGCGGTGGCGGCTTGTTCGGCATCATTGGATACAAGAAGTCGGGCGAGCAGGAAACCACTTATTACAACTCCTGGAGTGGCTCCTGGGCGCAGGACGTCAAGATCACCGTCTCCATGAAGGGCGCACCTACTCTTGTCCCCATCACCGCCGGCTTCTGGGATGTCGGCAATGTCCGCAAGACGTACCCCAAGCTCCGCGAGGGCGAGACGGACGACCTCCAAGGCCTTGTCCGCCTGACACATGTGCTGGTCGGCTACCAGCTCGGCATGACCATCAAGTTCTCCAACTCGGAGATGTGGAGGAATGTATCGCAGTTTATTGAGACGGGCAAGAGTAGCGGTGGAGGCTCTCTCCAGATCTTTGGCTTCGGTTTCGGCAAAGGTGGCGGCGGCGCATACCAGCATAGCACCAACGATCTCAAGACCAGGACCACATCTGATGGCGGCGAGATTGTCATCCCGAATACGCCCGAGGGTATGTTGTTCATGCTGGGTGCTCGCGGTAAGGCTCTGTAAATACGTAGCTGCGTGGCTTGCACTCGACGGAGACGGGGAGGTGGAGTATCAGAGCACAAGTTGTAGTTCCTCCTGTGAAGGGTAACGTGGATATTAGCTAGATGAATGAACGGACCGGTGTAGGCGAGGAGATGTCGCGTGGTTCTGGCGAGGATGATACCTTTGGTGCAACATGGCTGCCTTTCTCAACGTTGCGATGTCACCCTAACCTGGTTCAAAGCAACGTAGCTTATGACGCAACCAATACTGCGCTCACCGCCTTGCCAGAGATCTCTCAAGCTCCAATATTTAGCCTAGGATATGTGGCGGCATCGAAGTCCAGTGACTAACATTACAAGGCACCACCTGTCGAATGGTGCGGTCTCAGGGCCGCATCTAGGCTACGTGCGCGAATGTCACTTTCGAGAAATCTTCTTGCAGCTACAGTGGAAGGCATGTGTTATTCGACAAACAATGGCGCCCTGGTTGAGGGGAGAGCACAGGAAAGGAGTTAGGGTACAAGCTGAAATAGTGGCTGGAGAGGGAGTGGTTGGTATTGGGGAGGCTGTGGTTGCAGGAGAAGCGTGATGAGTGAGCGGCGGTCTTCATCCGTTTCTCGTTTCTCGATTCTTTCATATGTCGCCCTAGTATCTATAAAATCTCGAGGAGTTTTGGATACCCATAATTCCCCCGCCTCCAACACCTAGGTTCTCGACGTAGGATTTCAAGATAGGATGATGAACATGATTGTCTGATCTTTTCTCAGGAGGTCTCTCGTCACCGGCCAAACTGACAACGGAGTCTGTTAGCCAGTATGCATATTTTGCCAAAACGGGGGCGGGGACATACCATTCGCAGTCGACCGACTGGGAGTTCCCCATCCACACTCTCATTGCTTGAGCCAAGTAGCGGTCATGCAAGTTTCTTTCTGTTGAAGATATCCTAACAACGGAGAGGGGCAGGAACGTGATGTAGAATGATTCATGTGGACGAGTTTGGATGTTGAAGGAAGCTTTAGCGAATCTCCGCCTGGCCATTATACGATTCCTCATCTCTGATCTGCTTCCGTCTTTCTCTTACTAAACCCCTTGGTCTCGAGATGGCGCTCGCTGAGCTCAAACAAAAGACGCACTTAGGTGTGTCATTCAAAAACGCAGGCAGTCACCATATGAATATATATATACTCCGCCCGGTCACGAACCAGCGTAGGCAACGGGCTGTCGCAGGCTGCATGAAAATCGCCGAAGTACCTTTTTTAATCGTGTACCCTTATGCTGTAACTTGGATGAATAGAAGTATTTGCTTGAAGGCGAATTACATATACGACAATGCGGGTAATAAAAGACAGCCCTGCAGATAGCGACAGCGAGTGAACAGCGAATGATAACTTGGGAAGACGGTGATCAATCTAAAGAAACGCGCGCGACTTTACGTTATAGTGCAGCCACGGCTGCAAATAGACGAATGCTTCTCGACTTGATGTTGGAAGAGCGACGTTGTACTTGGTTCAGCGGGTACGAAACCCGCTCGAGTCCTCTGCCAGACTGCCCGAGTCTAGTATGTCTCCAAAAACATGTCGCCCTGAAAAATGCACAGACAGGACGCCGCACGACATTTGGGCAAGTTCTCTTATCTTTAAGATTCGTCGCGAAGGTACATGTATACTAAGTCTGTTGGGCGCGTCAGCCTGTCAATGGCCCACTGGACAGGCGATTAACAGCAGACGATGTAAGTTGTAATCCTCATACTGTCCCGTCTTCGGTTTATCGGTGGTCTCCTTTATCTGAATATGCCGTGCTGTACAGGACGTACTATCACTCAGCAGTCAGGACAGCATTTCCGAGGCACTCTCCAGGCACTGCGACTGCGCAAATGCTACACTCTCTCACATATCCACTTTCGAACCCTCCTCCTCCCCGTTCATCAACAATTCCCAGCTTCAAGTACCGTATCACGGGCTGCGGTAAGCGAGGACCGTGCACTGGAGTTCAAAGCGTGAGCTTCCTGGCCACGGAAGGAAATTGTTTAATCGGTGAGACTGCATGCTAAGCGATTGTCCCACCCCCACCGTTTTTCCTGCCTCGTTGAATGAAGGGTTAATCACATCCAAATAGGACACTAACACGTATACTCGCGTGAAGACGGTACATAGCACACATTGGAAGAGAACAGTGAACGTGATGAAACACGATGTCAACACATACCACTGGCAACATGCTCCAGGAGTGATTCCAGAGTCAAGCTGATTGTAATGATAATGTTGAAAACGGGAGAAGACGGAGTTGCACACAAGCAAAACCTGGACTACTGATAACCGAGACCATAATCTGAAAGGTTGCGAGCTCTAATCGTATAATGAGATTCAAGAGCCAAGGAAGGTAAGAAAACTAGGGAATCATTAAAATTGATCTCCTCGAGTAGCCTCGAGTAAGCGTCTCGTAAGAAGGCCTAGGCAAGTGATAAAACCGAGACTCCAAGGTCCAACATGTATATCCCATGACGAAACTGCCTGCTACCCATGTCCGTACAAAACTGCCCCAGGTGTCGGTTGCGAACCAACATAGATATTACACTAACAGTTGCACCCAGCGGGTCCTTGTGTCTGGTTTGCTTCTGGTCTTAGATTTACGCCTTGTCTTTGCTGGCCAGGTCGCAGGGTCCGCGGCCCCGCCTGGTCAAGCGGGAGTTTCTTTGCGATTGCAGTAAACAGTTCCCGGACGTTCTCACTGGTTTTTGCTGACGTCTCGAAGAAAAGTAGTCCAGCCTCTCGCGCGTACTGCTCCGCGTCGGCGGTGGAGATGGCCCGCTTATCAGGGGATTCGGTGACGAGATCGAGCTTGTTGCCAGCGAGGGCGATGATGATATTCTCGTTTGCTTGGCGCTGAAGTTCCTTTACCCAGGCCTTGGCCTTGTCCAGAGATGACTGCCATTCTATCAGCAAAAGTTCCCATACATGGACGAGCCAGGGGTCATACCGCCTGTGTGATATCATAGACGACAACGGCGCAGTTTGCATTCCGATAATACATGGGTGCGAGCGACTTGTATCTTTCCTGGCCGGCGGTATCCCATATCTCGAACTTGACGGTAGTGGACTCGTCGAGGGCGATGGTTTGGGTCAGAAAGGCTGCGCCGATAGTCGACTCACGGTAGTCATCGAATTGGTCCTAACCGATGGTTAGGGAAAGGGGTTTCTTCGCTATAACTGTTCGACTTACTTTGACAAAACGAAGCACAAGCGACGACTAAGGGTGTGGTTAGTTCCTAATCTCTCATGACGGCTGCCTTGATGGGAGGTCCAGGTACCTTTCCGACGGCAGACTCGCCTGGAGCGTATTAGCAAAAGCAAGAAAGCGGGGGGGTTGGGGATATGACGGCTTACCCAACAGCACCAGCTTAAACTGGGCAAACTTTGAGCCTCCTGGTCGTCCGCCCTGTGGTGCTCGTGCCGCCATGTTGGAGGAGTGAGTGGTGATAGGTGACGCGGCGATGGTTCGGGCAGCTCTCTACGGGGTGGAGTGACGGCAACGGTTGCGGGAGAGAAATGTGAACTCGGACTGCGGGTGTGTTTCTGAGGAGAAGACGAGGGTGTATTGTACGGGTCGTGGGGATGCGCTGGTGTCGACGGTTCTTGGGTAGATTGTGGTGGGAGCAAGGTGCACCTGCAAGATGAATGGGAGGGCCGAGCTTGGGTTGGCTTGGCGTGTGGCTTGACCGAGTGGCTGTGCGACGCGACCTTTCGTCATTCGAGCTAAGCAAAGCGGCGAGGTGGCGGTGCTGCGATAACGTTTTCGGGACTCAACACCACGCTAGGATACTCCATACATCCACAGACTCTGGATAGACATCCATACGCTCCTCGGAGACGGCATTCGCGCTCACTCTTTTCGCCACGTTTCCCGGCCGTTTGTTCACGCAGCTTGCCAGCCGCCGAGCTGATTCACACACAGCGCACCCGCTCCCTTCCCCCTTCCGCTCGACGACCGCCGGGTCGTAACCATGGTTGCCGGTGTTCTGCCCTATCGCGACATCAACGTCCACTCGTCGCCCTCGCATTATGCCTTCTCCTCGCCCTCTTCGCCGACAGCGCCCACATTAGTGGTAGAGCGTCCTTCAGGGGACCTTCGTCTGCACGATGGCAAACTGTTAGGCTCCCGGCGCGTTTCGAGCATTGCCGGCATCCTGGGCATCATCAAGCTCAGGCTAGGTACACACCACCATTCATGCATCCAGCTCTCTTGTAGCTGTCGCCCGGCACCCGGCTGATGTCTAGCGTCCAGACAAATACATCATTGTAATCACCAAAGCTCAACCTATGGGCAGAATCAAGGGCCACATGATTTATAAAGTCGTCGCTACTGAATTCCTGCCTCTGCGCGAACGGCCCCTGCATGATCTCGATGAGGATGCGTACCTGAGACTATTGAAGGACCTGCTCAAAGCCTCTCCGCTCTATTTCTCCTACTCATTCGATGTCACAAACAGCTTTCAACGCCAGGCACTTGCTGATCCCTCAGTGCCGCTGTGGAAAAGGGCAGATGACCGCTTCTTCTGGAATCGCTTCATACAGAGTGATCTCATCGATTTCCGCGGGGGACTAAGTGGAGGATATGGACATAGGCATCCAAATGCACAGCCCGAAGTGGACCCTTACATACTTCCTGTCATGTTTGGGATGATGGAGATCAAGAACACATCTATCAAGGGGACGCCATTGACTTTCATTCTGCTAACACGACGTTCGCGACGGAGGGCCGGAACCCGATATTTCTCGCGCGGTTTGGACGAGAATGGCAACGTGTCTAATTATAACGAGACGGAACAGGCAATCATCTTGAATGACAACGCGTCTGGGGGACTGGGTGGCTTCGCAGGCAACAACTCTTTCCAAAATGGAGGTGCGCGAGGTAATGCCGGTAAAGAAGTTCAAGTGCTGTCATATGTCCAAACCCGCGGTAGCGTACCCGTCTACTGGGCTGAGATCAACACCTTGAAGTACACACCCAGGCTACAGATCCGCGGGGTTGAAAGTGCTCTGGATGCGGCAAAGAAACACTTCGCAGAGCAGATACGTTTATATGGCGACAATTGGCTAGTGAATCTGGTCAACCAGAAAGGCCGCGAGCAGAAGGTGAAGGAGGCTTACGAGCAAATGGTGGAACACCTCGTCTCCCAACCCACCGAAAATGTCGAGGGCGACAGTATCACTTCCGAGAAGTTCCATACTGTGGACCCCGGCAACGCTCAGACCGCCTACGACCGCATCCACTATGTCTACTTCGACTTTCACAACGAAACGAAGGGTCTTCGCTGGGATCGGGCGCAACTGCTCATGGAAAAGCTTGAGCGGCCGGTATTGGAGCATGGATACTTCCGCGGCGTGGACATGCCGGGTGATATTGGTCGTGTCGAAACGCGAAGGCATCAGACAGGGGTTGTGCGAACCAACTGTATGGATTGCCTGGACCGGACCAATGTGGTACAGAGCATGTTAGGGAGATTTGTACTGACCCGCATGCTCATTGATCTGGGTATCCTTAGAGAGGGCGAGAATGCATCGGATGACCCGGCTTTCGAGTTTCTTTTCCGCAACACCTGGGCTGACAACGCCGACGTCGTGTCGAGATCATATTCCGGTACGGGAGCGTTGAAGACGGACTTCACTCGGACAGGGAACAGGACAAAAGCTGGACAACTGGCAGATCTGTCCAACTCCATCACGCGCTACATGTTGAACAATTTCGCCGACGGTCCGCGCCAGGATGCCTTTGACCTTTTCTTGGGTACCTACTTGCCCTCTGATTCTGGCATTGGCAGCCAACTGCTGTTCGCCGATAGGAGGCCGATCTTCGTCCAGTCGGTACCATATATACTCGTGGCCAGCATCTTCTTCGTTTTTGTTGGTAGCTTTACCCGCAGAGAACCTGAGGCCACAGTGTGGCCGCTGCGATTGCTGATGTTTATCTTCCTTGGTGTAGCTGCCATGTGCTTCCACTTCATCTGGACCAATGGCACGCTATATGTAAGTGGCTCACGCCGTCCAGTCCTTCAACTTTAAATTCTGACGCACGGCAGGTAAACTGGCCCAAACTCAACCGCCTCCCTTGGGCAATAGAATCCTATCAAGACGCTTTGTCACATGTACAACACAATCCCGTCGTTGGACCGCTCGTTACCACGAGACACGAACGGGGGAAGAGCGACGCAAGATTGGGCTACCTCGAGGAGGGCAAGACGAGAATCGAGTAGTTGAAAATCTTTTTTCTTTCCGTATACCATATTTTTTGTACGGCTGCGAAAGCATGCCTTGACACGACCCAGAAGTGTAACTTCTGAACAATCAGGAGTACCTCCATAGACGATCGGATGATATGGCATTGGTTGTCTTTCAATTTCTGCCAGCTTCTGGTGCATGCATAATGAGCACAATGTCGAGCTCCTCGTCCATACTCTCCTTACTTGCACTTCCACTGTCCTCTTCTTCAGCATATTTGCCAGCAACAAAATCCCACCCATCTCCTTCTAGCCTGAGCCTCAATCTTTCTCGATTCGAGTGTACGGCACGATCGAGCACGGGGATCCATTGGCCGTCCTTTTGCCTCCAGTTGGGGCTTGGAAGAAAAAGGTTCAGTTCACTGAGCTCTTGAAGGATGAATGCATGTGCGTCCTCGTCGGCGTCATTGTCTTTTCCATCTGAGGGACTGGTAGGTTTTGGAGGGGTTGTCATTTGATGCTTGATTCCATGCTGTGGTTCTTGTATGGGTGACCTGGTGCTGACTGTCTCGTATGTATTTGACTTTGTGGAAGTCATGGTCTGCATCCGACTTCCAGACGAGGGCGCGAATTGGCAAATATAATAAAGTTGGTAAATCGAGAACGGGCTTTCTTCCAACAAGTAACGAATCAGGGTGAAGGGAAGTTGGAAGACTCAATCTGGACGTGTAGGTCCCAGATAAATAAAAGCGCTGAAACAGTTGCCTGGAAGCTCTCGAGGGTGATGACGACACTGGGAGGCTGTGGTGTTGTGAGGACACGGTGTTGCAAGGGAAGAAATACTACATGCGGGGAAAAGACACATAGAACCAGAAGGTTTGCCGATGCTTGGAGCAAGGTAACGGAGCGGTCGTGTAAGAGCGAGAGGAAGTGACGGAACATCTCAAAGCTTAAGTGTAGTTGTAGTTCACAGGCCCATTATGTGGAGGAGAGGAATGGTAGTGCACCTCTATAAAGTCCGATCCTGAGCCAGTATCCGCACAAATCCCAAAATCGTAAAGCGGGCATTGTGCGTAGCTGATAGGAGAATGATGGGATCATTGGGACGGAGTCCACTGTCGCCAAATGACCTAGGTGAATTGCTCTTGTCGATCTGCGTGGTCCGTGCGGCCGAAAGCTACGACATCGCTCTCCAACTTCTACCACCATCACCAACATCTCCGTCGGCCGCCTATCCTCCCCCATCTCCTCCTTTCGTGGGCAGCACACGATGCTGCGCGCCTCAATTGCTCGGGCTCGTCCTGGATTGCGGCCAATTGCCGCTGCCGCTCGCCCGCAATGGCGCGTTGCGCAACGTTTCTATGCGGACGAGAAAAAACCCATTACCGACACCGTACCTCCCACGACGGCCCCATCGGCGGCTCCAGCGAATCCCGGCGAACCTGGAGATGTCAGAATACTCTCCAGCCAGACCCCAAAGTCTCCTGCGCCTGCTGCTCCCGAGACTTCAGCATCCCGATCTGCGCCTGTTGAGCAACCAGAGACTACACCCCCCACCGGAACCGGCACCGCAAGCGTCGCTCCTGGTCCCATAAAGCCTACGCCGAAGCCGAAGAAGCGACGTCTAGTGCGGGCTCTGTGGTGGTTGACGTTGCTGTCTGTGCTAGGCTACGGAGGTGGGGTCTACTACTCCCTCGTCTCCGACAATTTCCACGACTTCTTCACCGAGTACATCCCCTTCGGTGAGGATGCCGTGGGTTACTTCGAGGAGCGAGAATTCCGGAAACGATTCCCGGGTCGGGCTGGCTCCCCGAGAGTTCAACCGCAGGTGCCGGAGAAGAAAGTGACTATTCCTGGGAAGAGCGGATTGGGTGCGAGGGTGGCCGAAGAAGCAAGTGGCAGCACTGTTGCGAAGGGACCTCATGTGAGCGCTGTCGAGGATAAGGACGCCTCCAAAGGCCAGCAACCCCAAAAAGTCGGCACCAGCACTCCTGAGCAGGTGCAGAAAAACAAGGAGAAAACAGGTTCTGCGGAGGCAGCACCTGCAAAGTCTGAAGTCAAAGCTGCAGAAGCAAAGAAGGAGGTTGATGCTGAGCCTGTCAAAACCGCCGCACCACCTATCACCCCCATCGACCACCTTAACGTATCCAGTGCCGATGAGCCCATTGTACAAGATGTTGTTCAGATTTTGAATGGTATCATTACCATGGTTAATGCTGACCCTGCACATGGTAACAAGTACAACTCTGCTCTGGAAAAGGCCAAATCCGATCTCAGCAAGGTGGTCTCAGACATCAAGTTGCTCAAGGACAGCCTCCAAAAGTCTGCCGAGGAGGATATCAAGGCCGCACACACCCGGTTCGATGAGGCTGCAAGAGAACTGATCAGCCGCCTGGAAGTGCAAATGCATAAACAGGAGGCACAGTGGAAGGAGGAGTTTGAAACCGAGCGTGAACGCCTTTCCCAGACGTATCAAGAGAAGCTTCATTCCGAACTGGATATCGCCAAGCAAGTCTATGAGCAGCAACTGAAGAATGAACTTCTGAAGCAGAGCATTGCGCTTCAGAAGGACTTCACTGCCAAGGTTCGGGAACGCGTCGAGGCTGAGCGGGAAGGCCGCCTTGGCAGACTCAACGAGCTGTCATCGTCCGTCCAGGAGCTCGAGCGACTAACGGCCGAGTGGAACTCAGTTGTGGATGCCAATCTGAAGACACAACACTTGGTCGTCGCGGTCGAGGCGGTCAAGGCTGCGCTTGAGAACCAAGCGCATCCCAAACCGTTCGTAACGGAGCTGGCAGCGCTCAAGGAGATTGCTGACGACGATCCCGTCGTCAGCGCAGCCATTGCCAGCATCAACCCGGCTGCCTATCAGCGCGGCATCCCCAACGCCGGTCAGCTCATTGATCGTTTCCGACGCGTAGCTCAGGAGGTCAGGAAAGCGGCTCTTCTGCCTGAAGACGCCGGTGTTGCCTCCCATCTCGCTTCCCTCGCTATGTCCAAGGTCCTCTTCAAAAAGTCGGGTCTCGCTGTTGGCGCGGATGTGGAGGCAGTGCTAGCAAGAACAGAGGTTCTGTTGGAGGAGGGTGATCTTGACGGTGCTGCGCGAGAAATGAACTCTCTACAAGGATGGGCCAAGGTACTGAGCAAGGACTGGCTGAGCGATTGCAGGAGAGTGTTGGAAGTGAGGCAGGCGCTGGATGTCATTGCGGCTGAGGCGCGGTTGCAAACTCTTCTGGTAGACTAGGGACTAAGCACGGGCTTTTTGGACCTTCTTAAAACAGCTGGCGAGAGATCCTTTTCATTTGTGTCTGCCTATATGTAGCGCTATGTGTATCTTATAGAGCTTGTTCTTTGATTCCAAGTGACGTTAAGCTCCACAAGAGTCCGGGCCCCCTGAAAACGTGAATCGTGCTGACTAAGAGGGATTTGTGATTTGACTGGTGAATGGATTGGTATCAGAAGGGCCATACGCCGAAGCTAGGAAGTTCTTAAGGGATGCGAGGTGATAACTCTTCCTTGGTGGCATCGAAGTCTGCAGCGGTTTCACAGTTCGAATTCGGGTTTGTGGTCCCCAGGCAGAAAGCTATCCCAGTTCGTCATATCCACCATGCCCCACATCAGTGGTCTGCACAGTCCTTCCATTTTTCAAGAATCTCCGCCGTCAAGGCACAGTAATCCTCATAAATTCCTAAAGGATTGAGTAGTTTCGTTCTTCTCGTCTATCTGTGGTATTCCATAATGGTAATTCAGTTTTTCCTGCCCGTGGGTTTATCGAGTTCGCGGCTTCTCATCTCCCGCCAGTGCCCGTTTCGAACCTGACCGCCCCGGGGCCTGAGCATATTGCTTGAGGGCGATAGTATTAAGGTGTGGGCTCGGTCCGTTGAAGAGGCCTATTATCCAGGCTTATATTCTGCATCTCCTTGGACGTGTACAACGGCAAGTAATGTATGTAGGTGAGATCTTCGAAAAAGCTTCATTTTGGAGAAGGCGAGCGTGCTCACTCATCGTTTGGGACATTCGTTAACGCTGGGGCAGACTGAAGATACGAATGCCCTACTAGTGAAAAGCATCATCCGTACTAGTGTTCCCTTGTAGCCTGTGGCTAGGATGGGGTGCACAATAACCACCAAATGAATTTCCCCAGTAAGCTTACATCGCTTTTGTTGTCCAAGCATTGAGAGAGTAATCGCATGTTTGAGCAATTATCGAAACTGCAGCCTTGCGCACATCGTTACTCACTTTGGTAGAGCCTGAAGTGCCGCATGGGGCGTTAATATGAGGGCCTGCGTTTCCAATCTTTATTCGGTGAACTGCAGCGACCCCACCTAAGCTGCATATGCAACCCTACAACACTCGCTCTCCTTATTCTGAGAAGTAAAGATCACGATTGCCCTTTCTTTTCCTCGACGGCTTGTAGTGTTTGTTTCTATGAAATGAAAGCTCCTTCACATTCAACAATGCAGACACTGCCACACACTACTAGCTACGCGGCTTTGAACACACTTTTCGTTTCTGTTCTACTTCAATTCATTCTTGTACATGGCGGTTCCTGCAGATCCAACTCCTCTTTTTTCGATTTTGAGAAAAGGCAGCTCCGTGAAGATGCAATCGCACGTTTCCCGGAAGACATCCAACAACATCTCCGCTTCGATGACACGGCAGTTGGCTCAGATCCCTTCCTTTCCAGTGGAACCTGCAAGACCTTTCCAGGAGATGAATCTTGGCCTTCTCCAGCGGTATGGGAAAAGTTCAATGCAACTGTTAACGGAGCTTTGATTGCTAGCGTGCCTGCAGCCGCGCCCTGTTACAAAAATTGGGGCGTGTATGATGAAGCACGTTGTACAGCAATCACGGCCAACTTCTCGAATCCTTACTTCCAGTGAGACAGTTTCACTAACCACGCATTCCAATATACCCCCTAGAACATGAGTAACCATGAACGCAGCGAAGCAGATCCAACATCCAACATGTGGCCCATCTACCAAGGACGCACTTGTCTCCCGCGCAACACTCCAAACGGGGCGTGCACCCTCGGAGGCTTTCCGACATATGTCGTGAATATATCGACTGTCGAGCAAATCCAACTCTCATTGAATTTCGCGAGGAACAATAACATCCGGCTCATCGTCAAGAATACGGGCCATTGCTACCTGGGCAAGTCTCTCGGCGCAGGTGCGCTTAGCATATGGACCCATCACTTGAAGGATACGCAATTCATTGAGAATTACCAGAGCGATTCGGGCTATGACGGGGTTGCCATTAAAGTCGCCGCTGGTGTTACAGTGCGAGAGATATACAAGCTCGCGGAAGAGAACAACGCCACGGTCACAGGCGGTATATGCGAGAGCGTCGGCTTCGCCGGTGGCTACGTCACTGGAGGAGGCCACACGCCCATGAGCGGTTACTACGGGATGGCGGCCGATAATGTCGAAGCACTTCAAGTGGTGACGGCTGACGGGAGATTTGTCACGGCGTCCAATACGTCCCACCCGGACCTCTTCTGGGCGCTTCGCGGTGGTGGAGCAAGTACTTTTGGCGTCGTTACATCCGTGATAGTTCGTGCGCATCCCAAGATGCCCATTGTCACTTCAACGTTCAACTACACGACTGGTGGCAACATCACCAGAGAAGTCTTCTGGAACGGGACCCGCAAGTTCTTCGAGATGTTCCCCACGCTCACAGACGCGCATACATACTCGTACTTCTGGATCTCGCCACTGCCCGATGACCAGGTCAGGTTCGAAATGACCCCTTTCTGGGCTCCCAACCACACAATTGCGTCCTTTGAAGCACTAATCGAACCGTGGTTCTCCCATCTACGAGCCCTCGGCATCTTCTTCGAGCCCAAAACCATGCTATTCGACTCCTTCTATCCCGCCTACCACTCCTCGTGGGGAAATGAGACCGTAGGACAAGCCTCTCGTTTACCAGGAAACCGCATCTTCCCTCGGGGGAACTGGGCGGATCCTGCAAAATTCGAGCGCATGTTCGCGGCCATCAAGAATACCAGCATGACTGGCAAAGTGGTGGGTGGATATCACCAGGAACCGGGCAACAGATTGCATGTGGATAATGCCGTCTCTTCCGCCTTCAGACACACGGTTTCGTTTCTGATAAGCGGCGTCACGGTTGAAGGTGGAGAGGACGCCACGCAAGATCAGATGCAGAAAACTGCGGACGAGCTGATCAATGACGTGCTTGGGCCATGGCGTGAAGTCGCCCCGGAAAGCGACTTTGGTGGTTCTTATCTGAATGAAGCCAATGTGGCCGAGCCGCATTGGCAGGAGAGTTTCTATGGGGTGCAGTATCCGAGGCTATTGGAGTTGAAGCGGAAGTGGGATCCTAAGGGCGTGTTTTATGCGACTACAGCTGTGGGGAGTGACGAATGGGAGGTGAGGGATGGAGAGTGGGGGACGCAGACGCAGAATGGGAGGTTATGCCGTGTGTAGGTGTTCGCTGGATAGTAAGATCTTGAGGGGCATAGTCATGAGGGTTTTTCATATTCTACATTGGTGGCATAACCGATAATAAGTGCTGTGCCCAGAGCTATACCACTCTGTTCTTCACTTCTTTTCCTCCTCCCTTTCCCAGTTCACGTCCAACACACTGCCACGGGAGAAGCTGGCCTGTTTTGCAAGTGACCGAGAAAATGCATGTGCATGCTTGGCACCACCTCTAAATCTCTCGCTCTTCTTCCTGCGCAGCTTCTAGGTGCCTTGAGCTTTCGGCGCTTCAACCGTGGCGGTAGGCTCGGGCGGTGCGACGACGTTGATGGCGGGTGCGATCTTCCCGGGCTTGTCGATGTCTTCGTTGGTGGTTGTGCGGATGGGAAGGCGCATGGTATCGGCAATCACCTCACGTTCGTTCTCAGCCTGGGAAACGGCCTTGGAGTCCTCGAAACCAACCAAGTCCTCGGCTTCAGCCTCCTCTTGTTCCGCATCCTCAGAGTCGGACGTGTCATACGGAGATTCATCGACAACACCTTCGTATACACCCTGTGCCATCAGATACTCCCGCCTCAGCTCTTTCAACATGTCAAATTCTGCACGCAATTTCTCCAGTGCCTTTAGAGCGTTTGCATCCTCCCGCGCTCGCGCGTCCTTCATGCAGAGAGCGTACTGAACCTCGGCAGCCTCGATGTGTTCATCGGCCTCGTCCCAGGAATCGCAGAGGCTAGCAATAAGAAGATGATTCTTGATGCGATAGTAGCCAGGAAGGGTGGGATCCCTATCTATTCGTTAGTTACTGCAAGTGCAGCGCGTAGAGTGTTAGTCACGTCAAGTTGAACTTTACGATTGCAATGCTGGTTTCAAAGTCGCCCTGTTTGTAGAGCCTGAGGGCATTCTCCCATTGTGCCTTGTACAGTCGAGGTGGGTATGGATTCATATTGTGGTGTTGGTGTTGTGTGTTGTTGAAGGGTTGGTGGTTGTGTCGAATTCGAAGATGCGCGCCTTCTGTGCCAATTGCAAGCGTCGCGTTTGCCTAGTCACCACCGTTTGAGCCATGCCAGCGTCTGCTTGCGCAGAGCAACCTGTCAATGGAACAACTTCCACGTTTGTTACGCAAATTGTTGCTCAAGCCGGGGCAGGTTTGTCGCAAAACCGCGTGCGCAGTTAACGTTGCAGACCCGACCGCCTCCCCGCTTCTCGTTTGGGGTGGTCAGTGCCACGTGGGGTGCATGTGCGTCATCGATCCAGGGACCACATGCAGGGCCTGGGCCATGTGCGGTCCGCGCCGTAGTTCGAGCTGTAGGTATATAAATGGTCCCATTTGAGATCCAATATTAATCATCATGGGGCAATCGCCGCTAAGGACTGTTTTTACGCTGGATGGAACATGGAAAGCATTCAAGTTCGACTCTTCAAATTTCTCGGAAAAGAAGATCGACACACTCGGACCTGTCCCCTCGCTTTGGGGCTTTTGGCTAGCAGTGCAATGTGATTAGAGAAATGCGGGAAAAGATCTTAGGTTGGGGCCTTGCCTCTAGATACTATCGCTAAGCTCTTGCGCAATTTACAGTGGAAGCTTTTCGGTCATTTTGGGACCGTCGATTCTATCTTTGTGGCCGCTCCGGACTTTGCACGGGATATATACGTAGAGGACCTAATCGACGCTCCAGGGGACCTTATGGGGGGAAGACGCTTTCCCAGTTAGGCGCACATTGTATATATAGGACTCTCCGACGCCGTGGTTAGGTTGGTCTCGGGAGAAGTTCCCGTCATTTGGATCCGACTTCCAGCTGTCGCTCTCGCTCTTGCTGGTCAAAGTGGCATCAACACTTGGTTCGCTACGAAGAACGTTCTGCTGGCTATTGAAGAGCTCATCGTGTCGCTGGAAGAGGTGGCTTCGTACTGTACATGTCATGCGAGTGATAGACCACGTATCGCTCACTATTGCATGTACTGCCTCAGGCTCGTACCCTGTTCGACATAGACTTGGACGGCCGATCAGCGTCTGATATGCCTTCACCATTATGCGGATGGCGCCCCACAGCCAGATAAAGTTTTTAAGATTAAAAATGCGAGGAATGGCGGGCAGCATCCAGGAACCACTCTCATTAACTCAACGGCACGAGATTACGGGTTTTCTCTGCACTCCGGACTGGTTAGAAAGCTAGTATTGGAAAAGAGGGAAAAGGAGGTTTGGGATGGTGGCCCTTCGCCACTGACGGTGGCGAGATACACTCCCCGTCCTTGTCTACAGATATACTACCAGCACAGAACAGTGCCTAAATGCAGTAAATCTCAACAGTGACACATGTCTCAAAAACATGTCTATATTGATGTGTTCTGATACAGATACAGCTGACGTGATAACCGCTCCCGTAATTCACTGAATAGTTATCTGGTCAAATTAAGCAACCCAAGATACTGGATACATGACAACATCTCGTTTTCTGCTCTGGGGCGGATTCAAGCTGCCGTCATCATTGACTCTCACACCGAGTCCAATCAACTCAATGGCACTGCAGAGAAGTGCAATACTATCCGAGTTATTTTGCGGGTCCTTGAAGTCGGGCGGTCTGTCAAAGTCGCCTTTGCTCTCCACAAATTTGCGCGCCCACTCTTTGCAGTTCTTCCAACCTGTGTGCGTCCAGTGTGAGTAGTTGGAGAGTGCCGTTGGAGTACTTCAGATGCACTTACCGTAAGGGTTGGGCTGCATATCCTCCGCTGGCTTAGGGTCGCCGGCTTGTGTCGTATGTGTCAACTGTATTTGCGTCAACCAAGCCCGTCACCGGTAGACGAGCATATCAACATACCTCATGCAGAATGACCTTGTCAAAGACCTGAAACATATCGATAGGCGTATATGCCATCGAGCTTATTACGGGCAGAGAGATCTTGGCCAGAGCGCCCAGGGTTAGAGAACCAGCCCTAAGCTCCGTGAGATCGCGGAACTTGAAGCCGCGGACCTGGGTCATGAACCACGGGCAGATTTGGATTTCTGAGGCTTGTCCCTCGGGGTTGAAGGTTATGGCGGCGGTTGGGGGAGTGAGTTCGAGGCAATGTGCGAAGCGGTTCGATATCTCGTCTTCCTGGTACACAGACTCGGTGTTTTTATTGTCTGAGGAAGAGGGAAAGACGGTAGTTAGTTTTCAAACGCGACAAAAAGGGGGGAATACGTCATCTTACAGTATCGCCCGTCTTTTCGCTTCTCTATCCTCTTGGTTGTGCAGAAAATCCTAACATCAGTAGCTCCATCAACTGACCCGTCAAGCGTCGAAATTGGAGCAAGATTGCCGAGTTTCTGTTCAATTCGAGGCCCCCATGGCCGTTGAGCAGCGGTGTATCCGAATAGCTGTTCGACCACGTGGTCGATGTCTGGATTGATGGGCGTTTTGCGAAGCTCTGTTACCGCGTTTGCCGCCAGCGCGAATGCGCTACGAGGGTTAGTTTCTGTGCAAGTTCTTCCGAAGTGTCGTGGGAGTCTAGGACTTACTGATCGGCAGCCGTGCGGACTAGGTCTCGGTCATTTCCACAATCTTCGTCGATGGCTATGAGGGTTAGTTCCCGTGCAAGTTCTTCCGAAGTGTCGTGGAAAACCAAGACTTACTGTAGGCATGGCCGGCAACAAACAGAAGACTGAGTGTTGCTGCTGCTCGAAGGGATGGTCGCAACATTGCTCTAGCCCTGTATCCTGTTCACTTGTTCCAAAACCGGCAGTGTCCTGTCGAAGTCTGAAGTTGAAAAGTACCCTCTCAACATATTCAGGACGCGCTCGACGTTCATATTTAAAATCGCGCTTCACTTTCGCCATTGGAGGGTATGAAACAGCCGACATTTCGTGTAGTTCCCCAAAATGTGCATAGTCACGGCGGCTCTGTAAGATTTCGGCCCCATCTCAGGTCATCATAAGTTGGGACCGAGCACAGCCCCAGCACCGAAGTCCTGACCTCATCGTGCCGCTTGCTCGAGTTTCTCCTGGGCCGCGAAATCCTTCGGGATCAACAAGATCTGAGCTGGGCCGAGTTAAGATTACCATCGTCTTAACGAAGCCTGTCCGGTCGAAACGTGGGCTAATTATAAAGACCTGCTAAACGTTATGGAGTCGACTTCCCAGTCAGCCTTTGGTATACATGGGGGCCAGCGAATGAGATTACATAATGTTATTCTTGACATATCCACAGAAAGACACGAGGCAAGCAGATAGATGTTTGTACTTTACGAGTTGCGGCGCAATCCTTTAATAAGGCCCCCACAAGCTCTGTGAGTAACAATAAGCCCACATTACTCAAGTCGAGCATAGCGCAGAGACAACCGACCAACGATTCGATCATGGGAATCCCCACGCGCGCGGAAAGTTAGTCTTGCCATTGTGGCGAAGCCCATAGATCCAACAGACGCTATGTTTCAACGTAGGGATCCACCTCGGGACCCTGACAGGGGGCCGAACTCCTGTGGCGTACGTGAGATCAGTCAATACGAATGTACTCCCTAGACTTCTTTGGGAATGTAGACGATGTCGGAAGAGATTCCATACGTGCATCCCCGGATGGTTATGGAATCTTTAAAGCCACCACGGCTCCTCTCCAACAGCAGACACGCAAGGACGTCTCCCTTCGATATTGTACATTTGGCATCATGTATGTCAGGCACAGTCTCTTGTCTGCCATCGTTGCACTGTGTGCACTTGGCGCAGAGGGCACTCCCACCAAGACCCCCAGTCCCACCATAGCGAAAAGAGCCGTTGAGCCCACTGCAACGGGCCAGATAGGAGTGAATCCGGTTACGGACTTGCCCGCATCAGAATAGTAAAACTTCCCATTCGAGCCATCCTGACAATGAGAGTCTAACCTCACTCCAGTACTTCCATCGATGGGCCTGCCACCGAGTGGTATGACCAAAGCAGCAATTACAGGAAGATCGGTGTCAACACGGAATACTTGACCGAGATCTCAACCACCGTAGAGTCACGACCAACCATCATCAAGCCCGTAATCACCTTTATTACGGTAGCAACCGCCGTGCCAGCCGCAGGGATCGAAGCTGGAGATGTGCAGATGATCATGGCCCCCAAGTTGAAAGACGCCCTCAATAGCATCGCAGAAGAGGTTGCCGCGGCCTGTCCTGGTAAGAAACGACAGGCTTGCAATCGTCCTCTTCGGTTTGCGCAGGCAGCGCAGGCAGAGATCCGACCCGGTGGCCGTCTGGACTTCGACCTTGAAGGGCTTATCGAAATCCCTACCATTACTGCCAGTGACGTGGCGGCTGTGCTGTCGCAGATTCCCAACGCTGCACTGGTGCTTGGACCAATCGTCCTCGCGGTACGTTCGTTTCGCAGTGGACTGAGGGCCCCCACTGACTTTTTCTGCAGTACATCGTTGCGACGCATGCAAATACCGGAGGAGGACCGCCCAAAATCGCTCCCGTTCACAACATTCCCGCGAACATGGCCGGCGGCAAAGCCGACAATCCATCGCCGACATCGTCGGGTGGTTGTCCTACGGACGCACCAAAGGGAGCAGATGCTCCGGTTTGCACAGACGAAGACTGCAAGGGCCCCAACGACGGTCCCAAGGACAAAGTCCGGGTCTGCTCGGAAGGAAAATGGAAAGATTGCCCCTGCCTCAGAAGTGGAACATTTATCGCCGAAGCAACCGACCCTGACTACCTCAAGGCCCAGCAAGACATGTTCCAATGGGTACTCGATCACGACGGCGACTTCTCCAAACCCTGGTGTATCCACGGCGCCAGCCCGAGGAGCGGCAGGACCCCCTCCGACTACTGCATGTGCGGTGAGAACGGTGCAACCTACTACCCCATTGCCGAAAAGAAGGAGGGAGAGGAATATAATCCTTGTCCTTACACAGAAAAGGACCACCCTAAAGAAACCCTCACGTTCCAGGACCCTCCCAAGCAGACAGAAGCGCCGCCGCCGCCGCCTCCTGCACCGCAACCGACGTGCAATACCAATCCATGCGGTGATTTTGAGAAGGCCAAGAAAGACTTCCCGTGGGTCCATCTTGGCACCGCTACAGAAGCAGGTCACAAGTTCTGCGCAGACAACAAGGGCAAAGCGGTCGTGGAGGGCCGAGACAATCTCCAGGGAACGTACGACGACGCTCCAGATCACAAGAACTTCGAAGGTGGGCCCATGCAGTTCTTGATCAAGGTTGACAGGGTCGATACAAACGCCGATAAGACGTTGGATGAGAAAGACTGCAACACTGCTGTCGATGTTATCTTGAACGGATGTAAGTCGTCCAGTGTAATCCGAAAAAAAAAACTATTACTGACTCGGGATTTGCAGGCGACACCTGCTCAAATGACATCAAGTTCGGGGGAAAAATCGAGATAAATGGCGTTATCTTCAGGATAAATCCGTAGGTCCCTATTCCTGCACAGCAGCTAGTCCGCATACTAACAGAGATTAGCATGCGATATATCCCTTGCATAACTTGCTAATGAAACATGAGGTTGGATAGACTCAGATTGCATGGGGATATTGGATACTTCTCAAGCATGTCGTTTCATGTAAACCTCTTGTTAGAATAAATAGATCTTGTATATCAAACAGCGAAATGTCTCAGCTCAAGCTCCCATGGAGTGGAGTTGGTGTCAGAAAAAGCCGAGGAGGACGGAGGCCAATCTATCGACACCAGATATGTCTGTACCCCACAAGCCTTCTTCAAAGTCTTTGACAGTTGCGTTTCAGTGTGCTCAAAGACCAAGGTGCCGCCGGCTGTGAGGTTAACCACCAGTGATTTCAGTCCCTGCATGCTGGATATGACGTCCCAGGCCTTTTCCCATGTCTCCTCGTTTTGCGGTGGGAGGTTCGCCTGCCAGGGCGTATTGTAAATGCCTTTGACTGGGAAGTGGACCCTAAGGGATTGAATCGTCTGCAGCCATGTAGGAGCGATGAAGCAAGGGAGTATCTGCATGCAAGCAATTTCTCTACAGTGAAAAGTGATGCACTTGTAGATGCACTCCGTAGATTCGAGGTAGCTGTGACGGAACGCGATTAGCGCCAGACCAGACCAAGACGTGGCAAGGATGAAGACGTACGCCAACAAACACGTCTTCGGAAAAGAGAAAAGCCACTCTTCGTGATTCCCCTTTACTCTGAAGGTTGAGGCATCGGGGTCATCGAAAAAGGAGAGCGTAACTGTGAGATCCCCATAAAGCCTCTGGTAAATGGCGATCCGCAGCTCGAGGGGCAGCTTGACAAAAAATATGGAGTCTTCCTGTCCCGCCGGCACCTTGCCGCGCGGGGAAATGCAATTGCTATATTTCGGGCCTGGATTAGGCAGGCGAGAAGACCAGTATTCCCGTCTTTGGTCCTCCCGGCGCTGGCGTGCGAGGTTCCTGCGTGCTACCTTCCTGTTGAGCAGTCCGTCAACAAACATTTTGAGCATGTTTCAAAAAGGTGGGAATGGGTAGGCCAACAAACTCAAATAGAATATTGGTACTAGCAGGAGCGGGATACAGCGAGCATGCACAGAATGACGGGTCAGACTGGGGGGCGAGGCTTATGCTTATATACCTCCAATGGATAAGACGCTAGACCGAAAAGGGATACGTTGAGGTTATGTTCCAAGGTTCCAACTTAGACGGGTCCATGGGCACTACAACCATAGCATGATGGCTTCGGAATTGTGAATTGAGGACTCTGCCCGAGTACATTCGGTCTTAACCGTGTAATCCTATCCTGTTCAATCGGGCACGTTTTCTCTTCCATTTCATCATGTTCTGTTCATGTCGGAACGGGTTTCCCCTGACACTGACTGATATGGTACAAATAGATCCTTTCAAAGTACATCGTCACGAGCATGTCCGGCGAACCCATGGTTCTCTCTCTCCCGAGGCACCCGTTCTCCAATTACTTACAGCACGAGCAGTCATTGCATGAAGAGTCTCTCGTTGTGGGCGGTTTCGCACAAGTGGCTACCGGCTCAAATGGTGGTACTAGTGTTGAGCTTGGCGATTCCCGCCGTCCTGGCCCAACCGTGATGTTGACAAGAACAGGAATGGCAGCTCCCGTAGCAAGGCGGAACTCGCGATGATTGAGGACTGCTTCAGTGTTAGCGCTGCTTCAACGGAAGTTTGCAAAAGAAGTCGATCGCTTCGCACAGCTTTGTGCATACCTCTGAGTAAACTCGCAATCTCCCCAGAGTGGCTCGTGATGGAGATATACTCGACGCCTGCATCAACATCGCCCAGAACCTCGTCCAAAACCTTCTTGCTCCTCGCATCCTGCGCCTCGCGTGTCTCTGCTTGCAGCGGACGCCACAAGGGATCCACTTCGGGGAAGCCATGCTCGAACTGGTAGTTGGGGAACTGCTTGTGGATGGCGCTGCGGGTACTCCGCCTATCGCATGTATGTGCGGATACGCCCTCCCTGAAGCCTTCCTTGACGACTGGCTTGAAGGGGTACTTGCGGGGTAGGTCAATGCCGGAGAAAGTCAAGTCGGCGGTTTGCAAACAGCGCCAGAGTGGAGAAGTGTAGTATCTCTGCGGCACGGCGATCTTCTCGTCCTGGATCAAATGCTGCCAGAATCCCTTCACTGTGAGCGCCTGCTTGATGCCCTTTTCAGTTAGCCGCGGGTCCGCCCAAGTGACGGTGTCATTGCCTTCAAGCTCCGAGTAGTAGCAGTTCCACGCTGGAGTGCCAAAGTACGACTCTGCGGCGTTGTGGTAGCCTTCACCGTGGCGGGCCAGGAAGAGGAGGGTGTAGTGCTGTTTTCTATCTCTGTCACCTCGGGCACGTGCTTTACGGTTCAGGGTAGAGATGTAGTGGGATAGGCGTTGCCATTGTGTGAGTTTGGGGTTCCCAGGAGGAGCGTCCGGATAGGTGCGGGGGATCAGGCCAAAGTTGGTGGCGGTGAAGTTGAGGGTCGAGGCATCGGTCGAAGGATCGGATTGAAGGAATATAGAAGGCACGACAGAGTAGGTTATCTGTCGGGCGGGGGCATGGTGGGAGTCTGGATGGGAGAGGGTCAAGGGGATGGTTGAGAGAAGGGATAGTGTGAAGGCGCTTGACAGTAGCATGATGGGAAGATATCTTGAAATAGGACAAAAGCTGAGAGGAAGCTTGCCAAGCAGCTTGGGGAAGATCGAAAAGAAAAAAAAAAGAGTAAGAGGTGGGTTGATATAACTGCGCCGAATATGAGCAGATGCATAGCCAGCCAATCGTTTAGAAACGTGTACATGGGCACGTCTATGGGGCAAAGACACCTTCCTGTTCTGGATTCTCCTATTGATGAAACCGACTCATGATTCTACACAGTAGAAAGATGAAAGTCATCATCAAACCTACCTGCAGAACCTAGGTACGAGTAGTTCTATGCGTGGTCGAATAGGATTGCTTGGCGGAGGTGAAGGGTAGGGATAAGGTACGTAGCCGAGGAACTCACAGCCTAAACTTGCCGCGCCCCGTTCAGCGCCACAGAAAAAGTTCCCCAGCCCAACATAACTATTCCACCACAGTACTTCCATCGCGTACATTGTGTCTCTAATAAAACAGCAAACTTCATTATTCCCCGCCATGTTCGACACCGTGTGCACCATTCCTTTGGCGCACGAACTCTTTGCCCAAGCTATCCACCCGCGAGAGCCCGTTGTCTCGGCCGGACTCTCCTCTGGGCACGTCTACACATACCGACTTCCGCCCGCTGCTAGCGACCAAGAAGACGGTGACGCAGCCGCGGCCTCCGGGAGCGGTTTCGGCCATATAGATACTGCCTGGAGAACCAGGAGGCATAAGGGCAGCTGTAGAACCCTAGCCTTCGGCCATGACGGTGCCCATCTCTACTCCGCGGGGACGGATGGTATCGTGAAGCAAGCAGACGTCCGGACAGGACAGGTCACAGCCAAGATCGCCATTCCCCTCGAGTCGTACGCTACATCCTGCTTCGAGTATAGTACTTTTTGCTGACAATGTCATAATAGTCGAACTGGCAGCATCGACCCCCCAACGGTTCTACATGCATTGACCCCCCAGGCCCTCATCCTTGGTACCGATTCGTCCGCTATGCACGTCTACGATCTCCGCGCCTTGCGCCCCAGCGAACTGTCGATAAAACCTCAACATACCTACCATCCCCATGACGATTATGTTTCGTCCATCACGCCCCTTCCCCCCGGCGAAGCGAGCACCAGCGGCCTACCGAAGCAGTGGGTCAGCGTCGGAGGAACGACGTTGGCAGTAACCGATGTGCGCCGCGGCGTCATGGTCCGTAGTGAAAATCAAGAGGAAGAGCTACTGAGCTCCGTCATGGTGACTGGCCTCTCGAAGCGTGGCACCAATGTTGGCGAGAAGCTGATCGTGGGCGGCGGCAGCGGCGTTCTGACACTATGGGAACGCGGCGTGTGGGACGACCAAGACGAACGTATCATTGTCGACAGATCACCAGGAGGCGGCGAGTCAATTGACAGCCTTAGCCTGTTGCCTCAGGGTGTCGGGCCGGGAGGCAAAATCGTTGTAGCCGGACTGGGAAATGGTGAGCTCAAATTCGTCAAGATTGGGCCCAACAAGACGGTGTCCGAGTTGAAGCATGATGAGCTGCAAGCGGAAGCAGTGGTGGGGTTAGGATTTGATGTCACTGGCCGCATGTTCAGCGGGGGAGGAAAGATGATCAAGGCCTGGCATGAGAAGCTTGAAGAGGACGCTACAGAAGAAGAGGAGCAAGCAGCCGGCACCAAACGAACCCTTGACCCCGATTCAGATGACGACAGTGACGAGGAGGCGGGTGAGAGCAGCGACGAGGAAAGGGAAAGCAAGAAGCGCAAGAAGAGAAAGAGGAGCAAAGGCAAGCAGAAGGGCAACGGCATTGTAGGATTCTCTGGTCTTGACTGAGTTGCTAAATGTATCCAGTCGGCGGCCTTGGACTGCCTCGAGAGCGCATCTTCACGCCGGCTCAATGCAAAGACTGGCGGCGTTCCGGTTGGATTCCTCAGGAACAGACCCCCTCTGTCGACAGCCGCTAACGTGCCGGATGAGGACGTTGTGTCTTCCACCTCCAGCTCCGATCCGGAGATCACGTGTAATCATTTAAGGAGCGTCAGAAAAGTACACTGCAAGACAGCCGCCGCCCACAAGGTAAGCGCAATATGAGATCCGACTGAGACCGCAGTGTGCTAAGAAATTGTCGCTGAGGTATCGTTCATCTTCTGCTTTGTTCCCTTGAATTGGTTAAGCCGACCTCGGGTGGGCGGCCTTCTTGACTTCTGTATTGCGAATGGATAACACTGCCTCGGTGGATTCCGTCCTCTTCTGCTTTTCCACGTGTTTGCTCTATCGCAATCCCATTGCATTCAGACTAACTGTGCGCACAGCGTAACAACTCATCCAACATTGTTTCCGTGAAGGCACGCCCCGTCCAGGTAGCCATCTGGCCGTTCCTAACCGAGGAAAAGAAAATTAATAAAACCTGTATTGATGTACGAATGAGCGCCAGTTCGACGTCTACTTTCCCATTAGACGGTCTTGCATGAGTGCTGCATACATTATCCCGGTGGAAGACGGGCAGCCTGCGGAAGACGACCACCACGTTTCCGGCTCCAACCTTGCCGGCGTCGGGTGGCAATGCGCAATACCCGCAGGCTCGGCACTTAAACCTCACATTTCCCAGGTTCTGCACTCCAGGCTTTTCATTTAATATCTACATCCTGACTCTGCACCCCGGATTCCTTGGCCGTCGCCCCACACTTTTATATCCTTGCTCCCGAGTCATTGGTTTCTGCCATTCCCTCGCCTAGGCTTCGACATGGCTTCGATATTGCTTCATCTAATGCCCTACTCGCTCCGACCACCACGGAGAAGGCTGACCGCGGGAGGAGTGTGCTAGACATGTGCGGTCGAGTATGGATGTGGCCGCTGCGCTTCACGAGCCGCACAGCCGTTGGTGGACGCACAAAAGAGATTCCCGAAACCTGGGTTGTACTACTGCTCTACTTGGGTTGGACAAGCTGCAATAGATGGCATCATGGGCCGTGGCCAGTTGGTGGTGAATATTAGGAAGGCCGTCATTTGACAGGGGAGAAAGGTTTAAATACTCTAGGCTGTCCCCCGACCGCTTTTCTCATTCAACCAGCCGTCTTCGCTCCAATCCACGATTTCCCTCACTTCGCAATACGCTATGAAGCTGTCCGCCTCCCTCGCTTTGGCCGCCGTGGCCTCGTCCGCTACCGCGCACACAATCTTCACCAATGTAAACAACAACGGTATTGGCGAGGGTGTTCGTGTACCGTCCTACAACGGTCCCATAACCAACGTACAGTACGTTAATCGTTTGATGATACTCTTGAGAGAATGTCCGGGGGCAGACATGGGAGCTTGTAACGGTTGTTGTGAACAAGCAGTCACGTGACCAGAACCAAAACGCTTTCCTGAGGAGATTCGACTCAGCCGAAATCGCCCATTGACTCTAAAGCAGCTGACAATGGAGACAGGTCTAACGACGTAGTCTGCAACGGGGGTCCTAATCCGACCCAATCTACCGACAAGGTCATTGATCTTCAGGCCGGTTCGCAAGTCACGCTTCAATGGCGATACACCCTGCAAACCGCGGCGGGTGGTCAGGTTATCGATGCCAGCCACAAGGGTCCCGTCATGGCGTACATGAAGAAGGTGTCGAATGCAAAGACGGACAGCGGTGTTGGCGGTAGGTGGACTCATCTTTCTGAAAGCCGTCTAGTATTCACGGTGCTAATGTCGACAGGCGGCTGGTTCAAGATCTACGAGGACGGCTTCGACGGCTCCAAGTGGGGTGTCGACAGACTCATTGCCAACGGCGGCAAACAGGTCGTCACCATCCCTCAGTGCATTGCTCCGGGCCAGTATCTGCTCCGCGGAGAGTTGATCGCCTTGCACAACGCCGGGAGCACGGGTGGTGCTCAACTGTACATGGTATCTAGAGAACTGTTTCTTCACAAGGCAGTGCGAAAGTCTATGAGGGATTTTTGGCTAACCATAAGGACAGGAATGCGCACAGGTCAATATCCTTGGTGGCAGTGCCTCCAAGACGCCCTCGACCGTCAGCTTCCCTGGCGCTTACTCCGCAAACGACAAGGGCATTTTGTATAACCTATACAGCGGTCAGAAGACGTACACAGCCCCCGGCCCGGCCGTGTTCAAGTGCTAGTACATGTAAAGCTTGCGGCGCAGAATATGAGGATGAGATTGGTCCAAGAGGCGGAATAGATTACTTCGCTGTATATATTCACTTTGTCATTGACTATTCATGGACACTCTTCTATTTTCTCCGTCTCAGCCCTCCAATCATGCATCCGATCTGCTCCCGTCAAGCCATTATGACACATGAAAGAAATGGGAATGCCTCGAGTCTCGCTTCTCTCCTCCCTAAGGAACTGTCTACTGAGGTAACGCAGGAGATGAATGCGCACTTGCTGACCTTGTCCAAGCCATCTAGTTCTTTCTGAGCAAGCCTTTGCAGCTGGTTGGTTGAGCGGGAAGAGTTTGGGGCACCGAGTAGCTCACGAGCCACTTTGCACCGGCAACAAATTCTGTTGTGAGCAATAACTCGAATATGATGCTTATACGCGCCTCGTCTAACGTCTGTCACTGTCAGGATTGTGAAGGTCTCTCAGTGGCGTCTACTGGTCGAGTGCCTCTCTCGCACTACCCTAGGGTAGTATGTGAAACTACGACGCGGCCCGCCCCTGAATGGCGTATGTACATCATAACATCATCATGGTCTGAGACTGAGACTTTGACTTTGACTTTGGCTTGCACTGGCCTGGCGATGCGCATCGACAGTTACAGTGTATGTACCCTTCTGCTCTGAACACACGACACCAACACCACCATATGGATCCCGAGTCAATACCTACCCCGACTGCACTTGATTCCCATGGGAAAAGGCCGCCGGGCTCTACAAACAGAGTGATTTAGGAACTGGCATCGCAATGGCACAGTTCAGCGTCACGCGACATACAGTCTGCTGGGGTCCACATGTGATGGGAGAACGCGTAACTGTTCCGCCACTCTCTTTCATCGTCTCCTTCTTCCTTTTCGCTCCCGCCCTCTCTTTCCTTCGAGGGCCCAGGCACATTTGGTATATAAGTTGTCTTCCACTCCCGATGCTCCTGTTCACTTTCCTGCCCACAACCGATGAAATCAGCCACACCCGCCTCAACGACAAAGCGTCGCTCGTTTCCCGTTATCAGCTCCCGATGGACGCAGGTTATCTGGGCGCCGCTTCTACGATTCTTTCACCGCTCGTTGCAGGCTATACGGAAGGTTCGCGACATGTTGAAAATTAGGAGCACTGAGCGGGAGAAGTTGGACCCGTGTCTAGCGCAAATCGAGTCCGGCCTGTCGCTGGTAGATCAGCACATCAATCTGGTCAAAAAGTCGCAAGACAGGATGGAAGCGCGACTCAAGAAACTGACGACAACCTGTTCCGAAATCGTGCGCCAACTTGAGGCATGGGACAAGGCCAGCCGCGAGAATCATGAACGACTCATGGTTAGGCTCTACAGGATAGAGCTGGCTCTTCAGAGACTGCAGAAACTCGTAGGTAGTCTCGACAGTACCAGCGAGTGATGCTGTCAAGGTGTGTTTGTTCACATCCACGCAAAAGCCCTTCTCCTGACCGCAAGAAACAGTCCAAGTAAGCGAGGGGTGGAGGTTGACTGGCATTGCGTTATAACATTCTTAAGAACAGATTGTTAGCGGGGTGGCTTTTGGGAGTCTGCTATAGCAAGCGGACTTCTCCCGTGGCAATGTGTTGGACATAAACCAGAGGAAGGGTGACGAGGGGAAGTGAAGCTTATAGCTGTAACTTGGAATTTCAGACTAGACGGGAACCATTTCCATGGACTTCCACTCGCAGTGCAGACCCTCCTGCATGAAGGATTACTCTCCAATAGTATCTTCTGAGACTGCAGAGTATTCTTCCGAGCGCCCTGCTAACCTCTGTGGCATCCAAATTCGAACGTGGATGACCCCTTATTGTCTTACTCATAGCCGCGCCGCAATAGAGCGTAACAACAACAACCGAACTAGAAGTGCACCGCAATTGTGGTGTCAGAAGGCATCTCTACTAGACATCTAGCCTGCCACGAATCAGCCGGATTCAATTCCCGATCGCTTACAAATTGGACCGACTGACCCCACCCTGGGGCACATCGCAGTCCAGTCATCGAATTGTGGTATGATTTGAGATAGACAGAGATAGGGGGCTGAAGTCGTAGCCGACGGGGAAGAATAGTCTTATTAAAGTCAAAAGCACTTGGTTCCGCGACTTCACTTCCATTCCATATCGCCGTAATCGAGACACCCCAGGTGCATCTACCATTCGCCTTCGGCACATTCATCGCGATCCGATCAGTCACATCGAGACTCCGAAGCCGAGCGACAATGGCCGTTCCAGAAGGCACCCTTAACCTCGCCATCCTAGATGACTATCATAACCTCTTTCTACCCATACTCAACTCCCTTCCCCAACCCTTCCTCTCTCGCCTCTCGATTACAGCCATTCCTGATACACTTCCGGCCTATAACCACCCTTCCACGACCGCCGCCGAAAAGGAAGCACTCATCTCCCGCCTTCGCCCATTTCACATCTTAATCACTATGCGCGAACGAACCCCTTTCCCAGCAGAAGTCATTTCCCAGCTCCCAAATCTCAAAATCCTCTTCGCCACAGGTGCCAAATTCGACGGCTGGGGCCTCGAAGAAGCATTCAACCGCGGCATCCCCATCTGCGCAGCCCCGGGAAAGGGAAGAACGGACGGCAAAGGCACGCCTCTGACTCAGCAAAAGAAGAAGGGCGTGGGAGCGAAGGCGCATCCGACGACCCAACATGTCTGGGCGCTGATACTCGCGCTCACGAGAAATGTAGCAGAGGATGATGCGAATGTAAAGGCTGGGGGGTGGCAGACGGGGCTGGCGACCGGGTTGCAGGGAAGGACGTTGGGGATCGTGGGGTTGGGGAAGATTGGGGTGGCTGTGGCGAGGGTGGGAGTTTTGGCGTGGGGGATGCGGGTTGTTTGTTGGAGTGCTTCCTTGACTCAGGAGGCGGCGGATAGGAGGGCCGAGGAGATGGGGTTACCGGTGGAGGATGAGGATGGAGAGAAGGTGTTCAAGGTCGTGGGGATGGAGGAACTGTTTCGCACGGCAGATGTGGTCAGCGTGCATTATACGCTTTCAGAAAGAAGTAGGAGGTTAGTGGGAAAGGAGCAGCTGGGATGGATGAAGAAGGAGGCGTTGTTTGTGAATACGGCGAGAGGGCCTTTGGTGGATGAGGACGCCTTGTTGGAAGTACTGAGAAAGAAGCGGATTCGAGGTGCTGCGCTGGATGTCTTCGACGTGGAGCCTCTGCCGAAAAGCAGTCCGTGGAGAACGGAGAAATGGGATGAGGTGGGTAAAGACGGGAAGAGAATGAGGAGTAGGGTATTGTTGACACCGCATATGGGGTTTGTAGAGGAAGAGAGGCTCAAATTATGGTATGAGGAAACAGTGGAGAACCTGGAGAGATGGCTGAACGGGGAGGAAGTCTTGCACGTTATCAACTCAAAACACTCAGAATAGATGCACAATCAAAAGAGGTCAAATGCTTTGTTTGTCCCAAGCTTCGTACATCACAGTGAGCTTGCCAGTTGTACTTCATCACGAGTTAGATGCACATGTACCTTGTGGTTCCCAGTTTTGGGTCAGCCCAGCGAGTAAAACGCATGACCAAACGGAACGGTACAGCTCTCTCCGTCAAATGCGCTAGCGGCAGATACTGCTTTACAATCATGGGAGACGCAAAACTCGTGACGACACATCCTCTCTCTATAGCTTGACACTGGATGCCAGACGATGTCAGTTAGGTTCGGCAGAGATTTGTTCTACACAACTTCTTCTCATCTCCATAACTCCCCTAAACTCGAAGAGCGCTTAGCTTTACTACGGCCAGACTACGGTTCAGGACCAGAAAAGTGCAGAAAGCTCTCTGGTCATTTCCTCATACCAAACCACTCAGGAGCAAGCATGGCTTCATGGAAACGTGGCAGAGACCTCGTGAGAGGGAGAGAGCAATCGGTACATTGCGTTTGTAAATATATATGTAGTCCTCAAGAGCGGTATTTCTAGCACATCCATTCGGCAAGGTTTTCAGGGTCTACGAAAATTTTGACTTCCAGAATCCGCAACTCATTCTATCGCATCTCGTCCATTTGGATAGTTCGTAATGCCACCAAAGAAGAAGACATCCAAAGCCGCTATGAAGACCAAAGACGAAGGGCAGGACACTGTTCCCGCAGAGATCGGGGAGGCCGAAAACTCTTCCAACCTCCCCGTCAACCTGAAGTCGACGACTCAACTGCAAGGTGTCTCTAAGAACACCAGAAGGCGAAATAATGTCGACGAGGGCGTACCGGTGACAGCCGTGATGGGCCTCAATGAAACTGACCTCGAGGACGTCCCTCTTGACGATACACCTCTTCGCGGGGGTCTTGCCATGTTACGTCGTGGGCGACGAGCATTCTCCGTGGTCGATTCACCGCTTATCCCGCAGACAACACCCCGTCGCAATCCCTCTCGCAATACGCGGAATAGGGTGCTTGACTACGGTAGCACACCGTACAAGAAGAGGGCACCATTGCCGACCATTATGAGTCCTGGGAATCTTGAAAAGGCGGGAAACACCACCGATTCACCAGAAGAGCTGGCCGCAAAGATTAAGAATATGTACCTTGGTGAGAGCGTCGGCAAGCGCAGGGGCAGGAGCAGAAAGCAACTCTCAGACTTTGAGCTGCAAGCTATAGGTAGGGCACCTGCCAGCACCAAGGGGAAGGGCAAGCAAAAGGCGAGCAGCGAATCTGAGGAGTACGATTTTGCCAACGATGCCATGGTTGGAGACACGGTTTCCGACTCAGAGCCCGAAGAAATCAGAGTTCTCAATGACGAGGAGAAGAAGCTGCAAGGGATGATCCTCGACTTCACAAGCAAGCTGTCGTGGTCCAAGGGCAACCTATGGGACATTGAAGTGAACGATGTTGAAGTCATTCGCAAGGAGATCAGCCGATGTGAAGGCAGTCCCTACTCTGAGCAGCGAGAGGAGACACGGGAGCATGTGGCCATCTTGAAGCGGATGCTTGAGATTCTTGAGTTGGCGATTCGGCTTAAGGAGGCTAGTGCAGACTTCAGGAATCGCATCAAGAAGATCGGGCTGAAGTGGGATGTTTCGGGTTAGTGAAATGGGACTTTCCTGGAGACAGAAACGAGGATGCCTCCCCTGAAGAGCGAGGGAGGGTTGGGACATGAGGTGGAATTCCATCTGTAGGGGTCACGTCTGAAGCGGGGGCTAATCCCTCGCCTTTGGCGAATTTTTCCTTTGGATGTCGGTCGGTGTTTTCCCTTTTGAATATTCATTTGTTCTTCCTGCATCACGGTTTCCACCGCCTCGATCTTGAAGCCTTCACACCGTTGATAATACAGTAATGTGCGTAACAATAAACGTGATGTTTGGTTGGAAAGCTTGGATTCTTTCCGTGTGCAATCAAGCTTATAGTGTTCGTGATACTCGAAGGTTTCTGTGTATACCGTTGAGTGATTCGTAGGGAAGCGTTAGAGCATCAGTCTGTTGTGAAGTAAAGAAAGCCATCTCGCGGTAATGCACCATGCGCACAGCGTCGTTCAGTCATTTTTCTCATTTGCATTCTTCACTACTAAGGCTGGATTCAATGGCGTTCGATGACAGCAGAAGATATTTCCTCATCTTCCTACCCAATACATGTACATAGTGCGGTGAAAGTCTGCACGCTTAGAGGTACAAACCGCGTCAATATGCTGACGACATCTGGTATAATGCAAAGTTTCGGACCAACCATATAAACCAAAGAGAGTATCAGTCAGCTCAGGACAGACTCCACAACACCGTACGATGCCAAAAGAAACACTACCGGCCCCAGCGTACCATTACAACACCATAGTCTGAATGAAGCATTGACATGGAAGAGCGGATTGATGACGTCCGGGTATCATAATATCATGCTCTCGTGAACCCGCCAGTAGGCGAATGGGTATAGAACGCCAATTGAATGCGACGAAGAAAACGGAATAACTCAACTGAGGAGAAATGATTCATATATCCTGCAACTCACGGGTTCGGCCATGGGAGACATCCGGTCATGGATTCGGATGGACGAAGTGAGTGGCTTTACAAGGGGAGTAAACCTCTTGGAAATCTTTTATCCGATCCATAACCCACCCAGAAACCCACTTCGTGTTGCCTTCGGGTTTTTGGGGGTGGCCAAGGCGGATGGCATGGGAAAGGCGGCATGTGTCTCCAAAGTGTTCAAATTGCATGCATTTCGCATCTTTCAGGCAGGCGGCATAGCACGTGTCAAAAGACACGGATGCGGAATGTGGGGCCTTGAACGCCATGTCTTCCGACATGTTGCTCCAATCGTCGGCTCGATCGCGGAGATGAGGCTCTATGTAAGTGAAGAGCTCCTCAAACGTAAGGGGTTTTGACGGCCGTTTCCTCGTGGCTTCCCACATTTTCAGCTGGTCATGCTCGTGATCCTGCACATGATGCAGGGTAAGGACAGCCTCACACCACTGCTCCCAGTCGAAGCGTACGGTGGCAGGTTTCTCTCCGTTGAACATGGGCCAGTAGCCGCGGAGGGGGACACCACACTCCTTGAGCACTTGGGCCAGCACTTCGTCGCCGCAGCACATGTTTGACACATCTTTCCCGAAGAGATGTGTCCCTGGCGACTGGGAATTCTCCGCAAACATCCTGCCGCGCGCTACCACCTTGTCCAGGGCGCCCCTTGAAAGCACAAATCCACTACCCCCATGGGCAAAGACAGTCTTCTTTGGCGGCCAAACGGGCGATCCGAAATAGTGAGGGGATCTTGGATCGAACTGCGAGAGGAATCGGTACATGTTGTCCCAGTTTACATAAGTATCCAACTCCAGAAACACGAACCAGCGCGCATCTGGCCTTATATGCGCGGTAATTTCCATCATTGGCAAGAACTTGTACTTGTCTAACCGCCAGCCTTCGTCTGTCTTCGCGGAGGCGCCGTTGGAGGCTTGTATCCTGTCGTATACATCGAAATCGGGATTCTTGTATTTGTACTCGGGTCGTAGCGCGCGCAGAGCGTCGATGATCTTGAAGCCGTGGTACTCGGCGTCGCGATCTGAGAATAGAAGGAGATCGATGCGGCAGCGGCCGAGTCGATTGATATAGGCGGGTAAGGCCGAGGCCACTTCGGATGCGCCCATTTTGATCACAACGACAACGTCTTCCATGACGCCGCTGGAGAAGGGCGAACATTCCTCGCCGAGTACGACATCGGTTCCGGGATGGGAGCGAGTCGAAGGCGGCGTTTCGTGAACGAGGTCGAAGCCGCGAGCGCTGAAGAAGTAGGACGCAATCCGGTAGAAGAGGAAGAACGAAGCAACCAGAGCGGCAGCACTCAACATGCGCGTGGGCGACAGACGCACCATGGTGGCTGCTGCTGTTCCGAGAGTTGGGAGCAGAAGATGGGTTGACCGATCTATGGAAGTGGAGAGGACCGCACGCTCGCACGCTTCTTGCGCGGGCGCTAGTCCGAAGAAGGAAATCCTGATAGGTGTGTATATCAGACTGTCATCACCACGCCTGAGGCCGTGTGTATTTTTGGAAATTTCCCAGGCTGACCAATCACTCCTATCATGAGAGCAAAAGCCGTCAAAGAAGCCTGCTAGACTCTGTACCCTTTCAAAATCCTTGTTGCAATATCTATACCCATCTGCTCTTCAGCATTTGGAGTCGTCGGTTCCCTAACCTCCTTCGACGGGCCCAGTCCTACCTCTCGCATGATCCTCTCCATGATTTTAATGCCCTTCAACTCTTGCAGGGGAGGCATGGCATGTATCAATTCGTCACTGACGCGGTCGAGCCATAAGTCCGAGAGGGGCGGTCTCACGGCGTCTGGTATGTGTATAGCCGTACTTTCCGTTACCACGAAGTCGTACTGCACATCATTCGGCTCAGATTTCGTCTTGGTTTGCATCCTCTCCGCTTGGAGGACTTGGCTGCTGTGCACAAGTGTGAGGGTCGGAGCCTGTGGGCTCAAAACACCAATGTCGGCGAGCATGTGCCACGACAGACTGGACATGTCGTTGGCTCTCCACAGTGGCATGCCGTTTTGGCTGACAACCCAGGAGCCCGCAATATATAGATCCACTTGGACGCCTTCCTCTTGAAGTTTTGCTAATGTCACATGACGACCAATTCCGGGCTTCTCCATGCCGTCAGCACAGCTTGCATATTCGAATCTTACTGCTTCTGTACTGCGTGGATCCAGCAGCAGAAAGCCACGCCGAAGCTCGTAAGTTGCTACGACCAACTTCTTCCCGTCCCTGAGCGCTCGGTATCGCAGGTTTTGAAGGCTGTTGTCTGGCGTAGTAAAGATGGTTTTGGCCGTCCTGTAGCAATCCATGCTTGCAATATGATCCGCCGCCGATGCTGAACCCTGAAAATCTGGGATGAAGACGGAGAAATCATGATGGAATCTCGAATCCGGATAAGCATGGGGTGTGAGTCTGGCCCTGACCTGCTGCCAGATCAAGCATGATGGGTCCGTAGGAGGACTCTGGGGTTCATGGAGATTGTTGGAGCCAGATATACTCTCTTGGGACATGGAGATTGAATGATGCCGAAGTGCCTGTTTTCCCCACGTCTTCAAGACAAGTGCGCCAGTGAGAGGGAGGGAGTTCTTCTCTTCTTACTTAGTCAGCGGCCCCGCCTCGGCCCCTTTGTGGAAGCTACAGGTCTTGTTTCGACACAAGCCTAACACGTTTTTCACTTGGGCAGACAGACAGCGAAGCTCTTCTGCAAGCTTGTGCACACCGACTTCCAAGATATGATTTCCGACTGGTGACTAATGGCGACTCTGTACTTTTCCGGCCCAAAGCCGACTTCTCTCTGGGTGCACTATGACGCACGGCCTGCTTATCCGGAGCCTTGGTAGGGATTCGGAAATGGATAGCTCGAATGGAAAAGGGTGAAGTACTCTGTGACGAAGAAATATGACTCCCTCAAGTGCTTGCAGGGTGCTGGCATCAGATTGGGAGCACGGACAAGGTATATAACCCCATCGCCAGGGCAATCTCACATGCAGAAAGCATCGGAATTTGCGCGTCCCAGTTCCTTTACAATTGAAACCCTACAATGCATGGCCATTGCGCGTCACGGAGCATGTCCTCGAAATCAAGCCTCAGCGAGGCGATGGCGGCTGTTGGCCAACAAGATGATAATATCCAAGCCGATCGGGATCAGGAACGTGCATCCATTACAGTAGACCCGAGCTCCATGATGGAGCAACCGCAGGAAGAGAAAAATCGAGACGGAGCTGACGATCAACCGGATGACCGATGCAAGCGACGGTTCCGAAAGCCTCGAACCGTCTTACGCTCATTGACTTGGCTTGTAAAAGACCAGTGGTTTCTCCTAGTATTCGGACTCCTTATCCTCATCTCCTCCCAGGTGCAAGTTCCAAAGTCACAACAGGGCATTAAACGACGAGTCATCACCTACCTCGCGGTGTCGGTGATCTTTTTCGTCAACGGCTGCACACTTTCGACGCGGGTCTTGATGGATAACTACCTTCGATGGCGCGTACATATTTTTGTACAACTCCAGTGCTTTCTTCTAACTTCGGTGGTGACGTTCGCCGTCGTCAGTTTGTGCGCCACGAACCCACACTTTATGGATCCATGGCTCCTCATCGGCCTCCTTTTCGTCGGATCCGCTCCCACAACGATGTCTTCGAATGTGGTCATGACCCGCCAAGCTCACGGCAATACGGCCCTAACCATGGTTCAGTCCATTATTGGGCAGTTTCTGTGTCCTTTTCTCACCCCTATCCTTCTACAAATGTATCTCTCCAGTGGAGCCTGGTACGCAAAAGTCCTGGTCCAAGGGGATAATTATGGCGAGATCTATCGTCGCGTCTTCCAACAGCTCGGTCTCTCGCTCTTTATCCCCTTGTTTGCTGGCCAAGTCGTACGAAATCTGTTCCCGAAGCCCACCCAGACGGTCTTTGTGCAATGGAAACTCGCGAAACTCTCTTCCATTGCGCTCTTGACTTTGATCTGGCAGACGTTTGACCAGGCATTCGGCTCGGGTGCTTTTGAGGAGGTCCGGGCGAGCAATGTCGTCTTTCTGGTCTTCATGTCCATAACGCTCTATTTCCTCTGGTTGGGCCTCTGTTTTGCTGCGTCGATTATCTGGTTGCCGAAAAAGGATGTCATTGCTTGTTGCTATTGTTGCCCTGCAAAAGCTCTGGCGCTGGTCGTCCCGCTCAGCTCGGTCATGTATGTCAACGTTAGTACCATCGAGCAAAGTAAGCTACAGATACCGATCATCATATTCCAAGGTTTCCAGGTTGCAGTAGGCAGCGTTCTTACAATGGCATTTCGGAAATGGGTTCGGCCCGACGAGAAAAAAGAGTGCGCGGAAAAGGCTTCTGGAGTTGACACATCCAAGGCTTGACGAGTTGGAGTTTGGATCAAAAGGGGGCAGAGCATGCTTTAGCATTTATGGTGATGAAGCCAGGGCGAACTTTATGACGCTGACGCGCTTAGGTACCAAGATAAATTCCTCCATCACCGTTCCCTCTCTACTCAAGATAGGTGCTTTTGCCGAGGGGACGAAAAAGGAATGGGCCGACCGTGTCTTAATAACCAGATATACAAGAATGAAGAATAGTGCCGATAGTAGAATGATGAAATGCTCGTCGCCTCTACGGCCTGTTATGTGCAACAGCAGCCGTTCGGGACCTTTGATCGTCAACAACCCTACGCATCCCAGACGGCGCATGAGAACTTACACAGCGGCATCCTGCCCACTCTTCGCAAGGGCACTCGACGCAAGGTCCCGGGAACATGTTCCCTTTGGCATCCCTCATCTCCTTGGTGGAGCGGTTGAGGCTGACCTATGGTTGTGGTCAGTCTTGCGTGTCTACCCTAGGTACCAACTACCCGATCAACATACCGCAGCTGGTGAAGCAAGAGCCAGAGAAGCCGATATAAGGACTATAAGAGCAGAGAAGTTCATGTTGAGTGTGGTAGGCCAGATATTCCGCTGGATATCTCCGCTTGGTCCAAGAAAAGGGTGTGTGTGTTCAAGGAGAGCAAAGGGCCTAGAGCGACGTCCCGTGTCTTAAAGAGTGACGGATCTTGTCCATCACTCTATTTATGTATGTGGATCGAGCATGTACCCCTGCGACGCTTCCTTAGATGGCATCGATTTTAATTTCTAGAGATTGCCTGTACCAAGACCGACTTCCCCGCCCTCGTGGCAGACCAATTTCACCCGTGGCAATCTATCTGCGCTTGCTGCGTTCCGGAACCCCACCACCCTGGTCGATAGCACGGGTTTGTGAGTGAACACGTCCCCGGGTAAATGGTAGCAGATTGCTCGGCTTCTAGGAAGTGACAGGTTGATATAGTCTAGGTACCACCAGAGATCCCGCCAACTACTGTTCAAGGATTCTCCTCTTCGTATTATTTCTGTCAGGAGTTTTAGCCTCAGCAAAGTAAAAGGCCTGGGTGGGCATACATAAATCTCGGTGTGCGACGAATACAGCGAGGGTCCCGAAAGTACAACTTCACACCTCTCGGATCCATATCGACCTGGCTATCGACCTGCCTATCGCATCAAAGCTTGTCGTCTCTAGCTTCACTTTGTGCTCACAATCTCTCGGCTACGGCCGAATGTGGACTGTCACACCTGCCACGTGCCATCGCTCCCCTCGCGCATGCCACGCATGTGCACTACCCTTCCTCTACCAGTACTACATTCTCTTCACTCGAGGCAAATAAAAATCGTGTTGTCGGCGTAGGGCTTTTGGGATTCTGGACATCTGACACTCGAGGAGTCACCACAACCCGTGAAGAGCCCAGACACTCTATTCAAGATGTATTTGTTATTGATATTTCAGGCCACTTCTTTTCTCCATCTTGCAAGCGTAACGCCTAACCTACCCCGGCTTGCTGATGCGTGGGCATCACAGGGGCAACTGTTTGCTGCCGGGAGGTCATCACTGTCATGTCCTTTACGGTCCACCACAGCTGAATGTCGCTTGTACCTATCCCACGGTCCAGACCTGCGATCCATCCTTTGAATCCTTTCGGCAACTGGTTGGCGTTCGGAGTACGAACTCTCTCACCAATTTCTACAATCCATTATTGGATCTCGAATCCCACGATTAATAAAGAAGGAGACATTACGGGCTAATAACTTACTTCAGATGTAACGAACTCTCAGCGAGACGCCAAACCGATTACGACAGTTCCCTTGGTCCAGCTTACCCTACCCTATTTAGACGAGGCAATATCTACATTCAGCGAACGGTGACCCAATGCATTCCCCCACCGCTCCCACCGACCGGGATGCGTGGCCTGTCCAGAAAGCTTCTCGGGCCCACGATCCGCACTCGAGAATAGGATCCAACTCGTCGCGCATAATGCAGCCATGTACCATCCGTAGTCTCGCTCTTATCAATTGCCTATCCAATTCGACATCGTTTGCTACCATAGCAGCGAGCTTGACAGTCGAAATATATATATCGAATACCGTGTCGTATCGAAAGTTAGTAGATACCTGGAACATTGGTCGCAGAGAGGGCAAGCTGTGCCTCTTGTTGCTCTCTTGAACTGTCGTTTTAGGATACCATCTAAGCTGTGCATATTGTATGGCGCCTAAACTGCGTTTTCATTGCCGGCAAGCTGGATCTGGGTTCTTCGCTTCCTGACAAGTGGCCGTGATACGATCTTCATCCCCAGTCCGTCTAGGAGCAAGTAGTAGCCGCAGTTCCAACGCGCCAGTCCCTGGGAACAGCGTCGCGAAAACTCCCCAGATCGCTGCACGTTCTCACTCCTCTACCCTACAGCATTCTATACCACACATGTTCTCCAATAAGGATTTATCTGCTAGGCTGCACCCAGAAGGCTGAAGACCGTGTCTTAAAGTACAATTAATTTCGGCAACCTCATCCATATCACATCCAAACTGGAACCTACCAAGCCCTCGTTGACCCCGAGTGCAAAATTAGTAGGAAAACGCTGTTGCCCAACCAAATGTACCACTGATAGGTATATCCATAGTGGAAATCCAGCCCGGAAAAAAGCCGCTTTGACGTGTGCGTCGAGGCTGCTGATGAAATTCGCAATGTCGTTTGGTCTGTACTGTTTGATACCGATCCGTATGGTCCCGCACCGAACTCCTATCTTGTGTTCCATAGCGCAGGAGTCCAGGAAACAAAAACGAAGAAATCCCATAGTGCAAAAATCGGAAGAAACCCAGATCACTACTGCGCCATACCAGCGACCAAAACGGAAACCAATCGCTATTTTCGCTCCAGCTTGTGGGAAAGGGCCGCTGCAAGATGGGGAACAGACGATGAACCGTTCCATCCACCTACCTCTTCCTCTTCCCGCTTTTCCCCTTTCTGTCATCATCACTCCCATTCAAGTGACTCTCCCTGTCCTTCTTCGCTGCCTTCTTCTCGAGCTCATCCCAGTCCTCTCCCTCTTCAGACAACTCCTCTTCATCTCCCTCATCGCTCATCTCGTCGGACGCGTTCTCGTCGAAATCGCTGTCATCCTCGCTAGATTCGGACGCATCTTCAAGCTCGGATTCGCTGACTTCAAAGGCAGACTCCTCCTCCTCTTGATCTTCATCTTCATCGTCAGATTCCGTGTTGAGGAAGGACCAACCGCCATCGGCGAAGAAGGCGTGCGGATCCGACGTCACCGTCTTCATAATGGTGGCCCAGTTGAGGTTGAGCGGGCCCTCGGAGAAGGGAATGTCGACGCTGTCGAGCCAGTCTTTGACCGGGTCGAGCGACTCCACCGGGATCGTGTTGATGTGGACAGGCGGCCGATTGAAGTCCTTGAAGACAATGACCATGTCGAAGTTGCGGAGGCCGAACTGGACGCGCTCCAGGTGCACAATCTCGATTTCCGAAAGAGTGATGCAGGTAAAGGGTGGCTCGGTGAGCTGGACGAGGCAGTCCGTGGTCGGTTGGATGAGGACAGAGGATCGGGACGGCACACCGTTGAAGCCCAGCTCACGGTATGGAATATCAACTGACACGTTTTCGTTCCGGCCGGCATCAGCAATCTTCTCGGCGAAATTCTTGAATTCTTTGTCCAGCTGGGCTCGCCTCCTCCGCTCTTCCTGTTCTTGCTCGAATTCCTCCTCGTCACCAAATTTATGGCGTCGCTTCCTGTTACCCGTCTCATCGAACTGCATCTCTGTGGCTTCGCGAACAAACTGTACGTCCCTTGCCTTCTTCTTGCCGATCATGATGGGGTTCTTCAGGTGGACGTGAATGATAACAATGAGTTCGTGCTGCGAGGGCTGGAAGAAGAGGTGTTTGATGTTGCTGAAGAGGATGTCGACCTTGATTTGGCCCATGCCGTGAATATACCGGAGACCGTTTTGGTGGATCTCGACGGTGCCAGGCATGCGCTTGCCATCGAGTGCTGGCCGCATGAAGACCAAATCCAAAGTAGCGGGTCGTTTATCTAAACATGGAAGATTAGTTATCAAATCAGTGCTTGCACGAGGGGTTACCTACTTTTCAAGGGTATGAGTTTATCTTGTTCGACCACATCCTCCATCTGCTTCTTCTCCTGCTCCCGTCGAACCACCTCCTTCTTCAACTCGGTAATATCCCGAGTAATATTTTCGATTCGTTCGATATCGTGCGAGCGGAATGTCAAACTGCGGATGAAGTGGGCGTTTGGATCTTCGAATGGTTGATCGTCTTTGCGGCCAACGCCCTGACCAGGGGAGAGGAAGTTAATACGTAATGATGTGAAGTCATTCTCAGGCGTGTGAGAAGCGTTCTTGATAGTGTGAATGTGAAAAGGCACAGGCCGTCCCATGATTGGGAGGATGACGGTGAGGTTCTTTTTGTCGACGAGGATTTCCAAGTTGGCCACAGCGGATGGCAGCTGATTATCGCGTTTGTAAGACTCAAATCTTTTGAATTTCTTCTCCTCGGTGCCATTGAGCGCTTTCGCACCCAGACCGTAGGTCTCGAGGCCCTGCTGCTGCTTTTTCTCATGCAACTCTTTCTGATGTTGCCGTCGCATTTCTTCCTTCTCTGCATCCTGATTGGTAGCCCGCTCATGCCGTGTGCGCGTCGCGGTTATGTTCGTCTTCGCGATAGCAGGTCTTTCCTTCTTCGCCTTGGGCTTCTTCTCCTCCTCGTCCTCATCTCCAAAGAAGAAAGAGATCTCGTCAAAGTCGGACGGGGCGTCCTTGGTAAATGCGACGCCATCGCTAACACCAACGCGCACGGTGTCGCACAAGATTAGCGAGTACGTCTTGCTCCGCTTATCCTTCGCACCAGGGAACTCTAGGTCGGCGAAACTGGTGCTAACAACCAGGGTCATACCATCCTTGAGTGTGCGGGTGTTTTTGCCGCTCAACAGAAGGGTGCCGTCCTTGTTCTCCGTTCCGATGCCATAGCCAACATTTTTGGGGAAATGTTTCTCCAGTTCGGGCTTCTTACTCTTCACCATATTGAGGGCCCTGTTGTAAACATCGCGAGCGATTACCCCGGCCTTGATCGACTTTATGATAGTTTCGTGTACGGAGAGCAGCAATTTGTAATTCGCCTCGTGTTCTTTTCGTTGGGGATCAACCATGTAGGTGCGAGCGACAACGCAACCATACGTCTGATAGCGGAGACCAAGCGCAGCGACAATCACGCCAGCATGTAGATTGCTCTCGTCGGGCTCATTGTTGAACTTCAAGTCGTAGTTGCCGCCGCTTTGAACCGTCGGAGCTAGGCACCAGTCGAGCTGCATGGGGTCGAAGCCCTTAGGGAGCTTTTGCTTCTGGAAGAAACCAGTATCATCGATTTTTTCCGACACCTTGTTGGCGAGCGCTTTGTGGGTGATCTTCCTGTCCTGGTCCAGGATGTCGGACATTTCCTCGACGAAATAATTCGTGAGAACGGCGCTAGAGGCTCGTGATGCGTCGCGCATGAGGCGCTGTAGGGGGTTAGCCACTTCCTCGGCAACAACGCAGACCTAAAACCTACCAGCTCCCTCTCATCTTTGACGGATAGGGCTGCATTGGATAGGATGGGAGCCAGGTCGACCTGATCCTCTTCCTTGATGTCTGCAGCCTGGAATGCCGCCTTCCACTCATCCGCAAAGCCGCCGGTTGCGTTGTCCTTCTTCAGGATGGCCACCTTCTTCTGAGCAGTGTCAGTGTATCATGGAATCGCCGTTGGATGCACCGCTGCACTCACGCCTGCGTTCTTGATGGTCTCGACGCATTTCTCAAACTGCTTCTTGTTCTCCTCCGGATCCTTGCCGCGGACGATGATGTCCACTGCCACCTTGCCACCCTTGAGGGGCTCCAGATACGTCGCTGCCACGCACTTCGGTTAGCGATGCCGTTGATGCCTTGACAGTTGGTGGCAGGTACCTTTCTTCTTCGTTGTGACAATCTGCAGGAGATCCGGTGTGAGAATAAACAATGTGTGGGGAAACTCGTAGCCCAGTAGCCATAGCTGCGGGAGAAGGCCCAGGTTAGCTTACCGCATGCGCTCATCTAGCCATACCACACTTACTTGAAAAGCAGCGGGCTTCAAATAGCTGCCGGGATCGCTCGCCTTTCCAACGACGGTGGCGATGGAGGCGGCGCCGTTGAAGAGCTGGTCGCCAGATCGCTTGTCGGCCTTCCACTGAGTGACGAACTTCTCCAGGCGCTCGTGGAAGAGCTGCTTGTCGATAACGATGTCATCAGCCATGATGAGGGCAGGCGAGGCAGTGCCTGCGCAGCGGTGGACGGGCGAAGTTGAAGGTGGGTTGGAGTGAGAGGATGGGGAGGTGGACAGGAAACTCGCACTGGATGGATGGATGGACGGCTGCTCGAGAGTGAAATGAAATGACGGCGACGCGACTTTGCGGAGGCTTGGCAAAGAAGCCCGTGCGCGCGACGCGACTTTGTGACCTCTGGAAGCCCGAAGAGAAGAGCGCTCACCTGTGGTTGTTGAGAGAACTTCACGACAGCCATGATCACGTTCGCTCATGTCGCGGAGACGGCGCATGTGTACCTCTCATTCGCTAACATACATCGCCTGTAGGCCCAGATGATAACGGAGGCCTCGCGTCCCTGAGAAGCTCCGCCGCCATCTATTCAAATCCCGCTCCTCCTCCGGTGGTACACCAAGTGCTCCCCGCAGAGCTCTCCAGCTCGCGACCCATCCTTCACTGATCCACCATCCATCGCCGCAACGAAGCCTTCTTCCCTCACTGTATAATGATATGAGATGACAGCAAGCTCCAGCACTCGCCCTGCTGGAGTTGCGCCCAAGGACGATGTCGATGGCTCCTCCCAGCCAAACAAGGGCAATGCATCGACAGGCGTCCAGGCAGCGAGCATTCGAGCCATCACTGCGCGCGCCGTCGCCTTCTACTTCAGAGCTCCCGTAAAGGCCTTCTTTCGTGGCCGCATCGACTATCTGGGATATGCGCGCGCCATCAACCCCCATCTCCAACGAGCGGAGGGGTGGTCCTGGCGAGTCACTACGCCAGCACTGCTGGCACACGCAGTCAAGACGGAAGGATGGAGCTTCATTCCGAACCAGGTGCTGCCCCCGCTACTGGCGAATACCTTGTACGTTGAATGGCCTGTTCGTCTTGACCTCTGCTGCTAACCCTGCCGAGTATCGGCGCAGTTCTGTATACGGGCTACCTCCAGACGCTGAACGTCCTCCACGAACCCACTGCGCAGCAGACGAAGCGGGTATACCCTCCCCCACCCGTGACCGTAACCTTCACAGCCGGCCTCATTGGCGGAGCCATCCAATCCCTCCTCGCCGCCCCCTTTGACGCTCTCCAGGTCCGCTTCCGTACGGCCGACATCCTCCATGGCCACTACAAAACGTTAGCTCTTCCTTTCTAAGCAAAGGGCAAATAACTAATATAAAGTTATAGCATGTGGCACTACTCGGCACACAAACTCCGATCGATAGGCCTGCGTGGCATCTTCGCAGGCTGGACCCTCAGTTTGCTGAAAGACTCCCTCGGCTCCGCCCTCTTCTTCGGCACCTTTGAGACCGTCAAATCCCAGGCCTACTACGCCTTCATAACCAAGTACTACTCAAGCCGCACTCGAGACGCGCTTCTGGGATCCAAGAGTCTCATCTCTGCTCCAGCCCTGGATGAATCCGATACCCGCCCTGTCATCAAACCCCACTACGCCATTGAGCCAGCCTTCCTCCTCCTCGCCGGCATGTCCGCTTCCATCACCTCGCAGCTGATCCAGCACCCGCTTACGGAGTTGCAAGATATTCACTACCGCCGCTTGGAAGCGTTAGATTACCAAGATGCGCACCAGAGCGCTTCGCGGCCCTCGCGCATCATGCAGCGGTACTATCACGCCTATGAAGAGACATTTCGGCAGTGCAAGAAGTTGGCCAAGCGCCAGGGTGGCTGGAGGCGCTACTTGTACAGAGATTTCTGGATGAGCACGATCAGGCAAGTGCCGAGTACGAGTGCGGGCCTGATCGTGTTTGAGTTGGTGAGGAGAAAGTATGCGTTCGAAAGTGAGGAAGAGATGATGATTGAAAGAGAAGGTGTGAGAATTTTGTTGACATAGGACGTCGATTCCAAGCGAAGACAGGCTATGGACATTTAGAATTGGGATGCATTTGAGCGCAGGGCGAAGATACCCATCACCTTGATGGTATGATAGACCTCTTTGTAAGTGGACCGGACCGCATATTGTATACTACGAATTATCGGCATTGCTTCAGGTTATAGACAGGCATTAGAATAGGACGTATTATATCCCGTATCTTACTATCACCCCACGAAAGCACTCAAGGCATACCCTCACAGCAGTTCTCTCCCTCAGCCGTCTTTCTTCCCGTGGGCCCGGCGATCACCAATTGGTCGCCTTCCCTCATATGGAACATAAAGGACAAGATCGCAGACAACCTCACCCCCACCACGCCCACACGACACGCGCCTCAAACCGCTGCCACAATCTCTGGCCTACCCACCACACCCCAGGCGGTCTCCTGACCCCGTGGATCCGCCAGATTCCGCTGAGCAGCATCCAACCAATCAAACCCCAGCCCGCGTAGGTGAAGGTCATGACGCTGTGGTATTCTTCAGCATCGCCGGGCAGGATGGTTTCTGGTGGCTGGGCGGCATTTTTGGCAGTTGGGAATGGTGGAAACGCCGTTGGCAGCGGTACAGCGGGTGACGAAGGATATGATGCGGGCGGGAAAGGAGGATGGGGAACCAGCAGTTCTGTGGACGAGGGATTCTCCTCGTTACCGTCAGTAATTGTGGCCGTTGCCGATGGTGTCGCCGTCGATGTTGAAGTCCTCATCCTTGTCGTAATGGGAACGCTCAGCATGCCGGTGGGAGTTGTAGTTGTGTGACTTCTGCGAAGACTTGTCAACGATGTCGGCTTGCTACCATACGAGGTGACCACATTGAAGAACGGGAGGAGCTCACTGACGTTGAACGCACTGCTCGAGGTTGTGTTATACGTTGTCGGATCGTGAGTTCTGGGCTTGATGGGGGGTGAAGGCGCAGTTGGGGGCGGCGTTGGAGTAGACAATGATGAAGAAGGCATGACAGACTGCTCAGCTGCACAGCCCTGTATTGACGAGCGCATCTGTTTCCAAGGCCACCAGCCGGCCCAGTCCGCTCCGCCTACAGTCGAGAGAAGGGTTCCGGGACGCGGGGCGGCAGCGTTGGACGGGTCTTGCGTCGATACCTCACTTTGGCATGTGAATGGGCCCAGAGCGGTTTGTTCGCCTCGTTGCATCATAGGATTTGGTTCTGATAGCTCGTCCGGTTCATAGATGGGAACCATGAGAGTTGTGGTGGTGACGTGTCTGCGTGTTCGAACAGGAATACCGCCAACACTGCCCAAGCGCGTGACTCTGCGACCATTCTCCGCCTCGTCGTCCCGGTTGGGGTGGAAGAGGTGCGGCAAAGGCGTGACAGCATGGACCGAGCCGCTTGCAGAAGAGGGGTGAGATTTAGAAGGCTCCCAGGGTTGTGGTGTAGAGGTGCGTCTGAATGGAGTCCCCATTGCTGTGAGTGCTGTAGACTGGGAGGATCGTGACAACGTCGGGGTAGCACGAGGCGCTGACCCGGTGGACCGCGGAGATGTTGATGGCGAGTTTGACGGTACTCTCAAGCTCTGCGTGATCGTTCCCGTAAACAGAATTCTTGAAGGCGTGCGACTGCGGAAGGGGTTTGAAATTGAAGAGGATGCCCAAACTCCTGTCGTTCCCACTGGTCGCATTGTCGTCGGCTGTGATTGCCACGGCTTTCCTGGCATATCTCCATAACGTTCGCAGAATTGCTTCATAATGTTCAGAGTAACAGGAACTTCCAACTCATACTCATGATTGCCCACGTAATATACTATCAGAACCTGATTGTTTTCCGTCCTCAAAGCGAAATTCGTAGGCTCCGCCGTAGGAAGTGTCAGTGTTGATGGCGCCACTGGCCAAACCTTTCCGGGAGTGATGGTCCCAAGCCAGCCTGGAGGTGTAGGAAATACACCAGTGGGATCTGCCCTTGATATGTCGATACACTTGTTGCGTAGGATATCACGAGGGAACGACATCTCGAGCACTGTTTCGCTGCCATCCTTCAAGAAGCGAAAGAGAATTTCCCGCTCGGTAGAACTGGCCGCATATACCGTTTGCACTGGATCCAAGGGCAGGCTCATCGTTGTGCTGGCCCATATTTGTGAGGTTGGGCTCCCAGTTACCGTGGCAGAAGGTTCGACTATGGCGAAAATGGGGAGAAGAGGGATGTCTTGCGAGGGAGCGACAGCAAGAGAGGAAAACAGGGTTAATATTGGTTCAGCAAGCCGCATCTTCTCATACAGCCTGGAGCAGCGAGTCGAGTCCAGAGTGGGCATGAGCATGCGATAAAGAGGGAAAAAATAGCCGGCGACTAGTTCCATGACCTTGAACTATGTGAATGGGAAATCTCAGCGCAGATGTATATGTCACATATAGAAGCTGGGAGATCAAGTGAAGAAAACAGTTCTTTCGCGCGCGCCAGGTGAACTAAACTAAATGGACAGTGTGGACAGATGACACCATTGAAGGATGTAACCCACCCTTTTGCGTGAACTTCACAAAACTACATCGGTGATATAGGCAATGTAGGTGTATGTTGAGGTCGCACCGCTGTCCCATTAATTGTTCCGCGGAACACATCCGCTGCGTTGTGTCTGAACAGGCGCGAGTGCATGGGATGAATTGAACGCGAGAAGCAATACGGAGCGGGAAGTGATGATTGGACGGAATGACCATTCTGTAGACCACCTATATGCATGCGGACATGGGGCATGGAATGAATACCCTAGGGAAATCCACCGACATTTAGGTGTGGGTTTTTGTAATGTAGTACGCTAGGTAAAATGTGCGAGTTTGAATAATGGATTCTTTCCTGGGTACGCCGCCGAACATAAGGAGATGCGTCAAACCTTTCAATACTCACAATTCCTTGCCAATTCGACCGTATGCATGGATCAACATAGCGGTCGAAAACGACCACGGTGTCTGTCCCTGGCACCCCCGTGGCTGGGGCTTAGTCTAATGCTGACTGCAGGCAGTCAGTGGCATCCCAACTTCTCCTGCCGCTCATCTCCTACTGTTTTGCATTCTCGTCCTCAGAAGCTTGATGGGACCATAAGAGTCCGGCAGATTTGTCCTACTTCTCCTGTATCTCAATTCCCGGTGCTGAGAGGCGTCGCCCCACGGACGGCCCAATGCCTACGACGGTAGTTTTCACGAAATTCCAGACGGCTGGAGGGGCCGCCAGACAAAGCGTACGCCCCACATCTATCATGTTCATCTGGATAGCTACCGACTCTCTTTGACAGGTGATTGACGAGCTCGGGAAACTGAGCGATTACGTGAAAGAGAACGAAGGGGGCTGCATTCGTTATGCAGTCACGATTCCCCGTGACCAAAACGAGGGCAAATCCGTCTACGTGATTGAAGAGTAAAGTATCTGACGCATCGGGGCGCCGAATCCGTGGCTAACGAAACCCTGCAGATACACTTCGCAGGAGGCATTGGATGCGCACACTGGGTCCAAAGCTGTGGCAGAGACGCTGGCCTACTTTCAGGAGAAGCCCGCTCTCTTTTCGGGTCCAATGGAGGTTGCAGTGACGGAATCATCGTCTGCCTTCTCCAGGAGCAAGATAGCCGAAGCCAGCGACCCTTTCATTGCATATGCCGAGATCGGCTATCAAGACGGGACCATTCACGGAGCACTTGAAGGTTGGAGTGCTGTGACGAAAGAAACGCAAGAGAGAGAATCGGATTCGCTGGCCTACTACATCGTCAAGGACAAAGAAAACGACGTGACCATCAGGACATTTGAGGTGTACATCAGCGAGGCGTATTGTAGAGGAGTGCATTTCAAGAATAAGGCGGTTTTCGAGAATCGGGCGAAATATGGGGACATTCGAACATACTTTCGCCCCGTGTTCCTGAAGCTGGTGGCGGGATGGTTGGGCCGGAGTGAGGATAAATGAGTAGCAAGACGGGGCGCGTTGAGGGAGGAGGAGATGATTCCCCTAAGATATTCAGCATGTTGGAGTGATAAACAAGATGCTGCTCCAAGTGGTGTAGATTCGAAGAATAGTCCAGCCCTGGGGGAGATGTGAGAGAGGAAGAGGGAGATACGAGGCTGAGGTCAAGCCACTGTACCACAGTATTGATGCTGCCAATAATACCTTGACTCTGATTGGAAGGTGCTGGCTGCGCCCCAACCTTACCAGCCGCACTGTGCCACGCGACGACGGTGTGGCAGCTCCAACTTGAGACGCAGTTGACTTCAAAAGAAAGGGGGGAGCTGCTGTACACAGTTCGTCGACTAATAAAATATTGAGGAAAATGCTTGGATGACACTGGCCAACAACAAGTCGTGGCGCTTGGTTAGCTAATCGGGCCCCGACGGGTCGCTTATATAATCGAATTTTCCTGCGGAAAATGCCCCCTGCGCAGCAGGGGGCCTACACGCTCAACGCGAATGAATAGCTCAACAATAATATATCTTCTACACCCTATTTTCTGCAGCAATTACACGTTTTTGTGATAAATATGCTTCACAAGCGTTCATCCGATTATCTCCAGGTTGCCTCAGCTATAGATGATGCAGTTATTGAGCTGCACCGCCACCCGCGCCCAAATATTCGTTCATACGCGTCTGTTCACAACCTCCCATACCAGAGGCTTCTTAGGGCATATAAGGGTGGAAAAAATCGCTCTACGCGTACG